AAAGAAATAAAAGTTCAAATAAAGCTATCCATACTTTTCTAGAGCTTTATTTGGGTCAAGATGCTGTAACTCAGGAATGTCTTTCATGAGTTCTAGATCAGAGTCGTTTTGATCAGCTATGGCTTGCGCTGCCTAAACAAAGAAGAGGAAAGATAAAATTGATAAGAAAACAAAACAACSAAATTAACACTGGGGTGACGCCCTCCTCAGGCGACGTTTCTCGCCTTCTTTTTATCTTTGGGCTCCCTGTGGAAAGACTGCGGAGGAGTCTTACCTCGTAAAACAGCTTATAAGAAGATCTAATGACAGTTCGTCCGTACCAGGTCTTGAGGACTTTATAATTAGAGTCCATCTCCCAAATCACACTCATTGCATATCTGAGGACAATCAAATCAGTTCATCAACCAGAAATGWCAAATTTGGTTGYATGGACGAATTACAGAMCGTGGGGGAGAGGGGCTGRGGAATTTATACCRACCTATCAACACCGCTGATGAGAGAACATAAGTCCGCGCTGAGTACTTCGGGAAGCATATCGTACCGTCTGTCAGCTAAGTATACGGTAGTGGACCTGTCAATCAAGCAATCAAKTAATCAATAACRCGATAAATSAATCAATAAAAMATTRAGTCAGTAGTGCAACCTGTAARGAAAGTGATCAACATTCAAAAAGAAAAAAGACGAACGAAATAAGTAAACGCACTACCTTGAACGAGCTTCAGCATCGGTTAACGACCCAGGCTTGACAAAGTAAGTCACATCAGCTATATGGACACCAAACTCGAGCTTTCCTCGTCCAAAACTCCTACATAAACAACATTAAACAGTAAGCCAGAGAAACAAATGCAAATGACGCCTTAGGTAAAGCAGGTCTTCACTGGAACGTTCGACGCCTTATAAGAAAAAGCATATGCTTGCACTTGTGATTATGCGTATGTTTATGCGTTAGTAAGGAKCTGAACATAGGATTYCAAAGTGTTGATTATCTTTTATCTAAKCTTATGCTTGTGTTTGTTATTGTGAAAGAACTGCTTTAGGAATAGCAGTAACTTTGTTTACCTGACTGATAACGTGTCATCCACGTCCTCGCACCCTTTGGGATCGATGCTGAACACCAGATGAGAACCTCTGCACAAGGAGCGGTTGCTTAGAAAGCTAAATCATCACCAATGTCATCATCATCATCATCACCATCATCATCATCACCATCATCATTATCAACATCATCATCACCACAATTGAGTTCTCATCTATTAAACATCGTTATCATAATGAACACAACGAAATGGTCACATTACATCACTCACCTCAAATCTCTTCTACGTTTAATTTCGTCAGGGTCCATCACCCATGGCTCATTGACACTGTTGCTTGGTAACTCTTTCAGCTGACCATCAGTGAACGGGGGCGCAAACAACTGATGCTCCAGCATAATAGTCGCGATTTCTGTATCTAAACTTCCAATTGGACCCAGCGAACGCACGAAATGGCCGTTGGGATACATTGACGTCACGTCCCATGAGTCAATGCGGACCACAATTCTAAATTTTAAAAATGAAAGAAATGAGCTGTCAATCAAGCAAACAGCCAATACGAAATGCTGTTGTTTGCACAAGCCCTGCTTCCTTTCAATTTACAGTATAGCGGCAGGGTTCAAAGAAGTCTCTACYCTCCCCTCCCCCAGTACCTGTGATCTCGTAATGCATCTGCCTGTCGCGTTGAAATGCGTATTTTAGGAATACGATAGTCCCAGGGAACCACCAAAACCTGTTAAACAAGAAACGAAAACAGGTTGAAAAAATAATAAATAATAGTTTGCTAAGATCACTTGGTTGCACGTTTAATGTCCAAAGAATGCGACATCAATACATTCATATTGTGGTTACAGCACTTCAATTCAATTGTAAAGCAAATTATAACAAAAAAGTTCTCGTTTCTTCATTGAAAGGACAAATTGGTTTCAGGAGGCAAAAATAATTACGAGTTTGTTAATTGTCAAGAATAATATTACCAATTTTTCTTTAATACGTCATTGCGATGATTTAATTATTATTTTCTTGTTTTTTAGAGCCATCCTAATGAGRTGCATTGCTGTTTTCAGCTGTGCAAACTAATTGTGTTTTTACCAACATCACGAATTTTATAAATAGCTGACGTTAACGTCGCATATTAATAAAAGCAATTACATTAAAAAAAACCGCGTTTAACGACCTAACATCTAAGAACCTATCAGGGTGAAAATTTTCATTCTWATCACCCTTGATATAAAAACCTTTTTAGTCTAAAATTTCAAATTAGTTTCTTTATTGCTAAATATAAAGTCGGTCTGTTTTTTTTTTTTTGAGAAACTATTAACAATAGCACTCTGTATATGTGGTCCATGAAATAAGACATAGTACTACCTAACAAATGTACTCTTTTTCTTAACAAAAATTATGAAGCCCATAAGAGAGCCYGATTTCAAGTTAAGCACCATTTTAATTATAACCTATAAAGGCTGACTTGGAATTCCTGGTTCATATACACGGATTTTGATTGTATCAGAAATCGTGCGACGTGAAAAAGGATTAAATCCTCGACTGCTGTGAGTATAATTCTCCATATCATACTCAGCTTCGTCCAATAATTTGTCATATCATCCTCCAATAATTTTTTATATCACACACAGACTTTCCAATAATTCTAAGTTTTTATATTTTGTATGTTCTCTGAGAGTTTGTTTAATGAATTAGGCGCCGCACAAAGGAAAGGATGTTTCTCCATATATCGCTGTCTTAATCTTTGATGGGTTTGTATGTTAATCAATTACTAACTCGAGGATAATGAGCTCACGTCCGACACTTGGGTGTGTTCGTGACTCATGCATCATTTTCAGTTACTTTTTTAAATCCCCTCAAGGACGAAGAAGAACAGAAAAACGAACAATAGAAAAATGCTACAAAAACACATCATTTTGAACAAGCACTAAGTTATCAGTTTGTTATATCAAGGGCACATAATGAAAGTTATACTCAACAAATATATAAAACACCGATGTTATCTYGTCTCGTAATAAATACGCACATCTGTCATATAATATGACCAGTCATTAAAACCCAAACAATATATTATTGAAAAAAAGACTTAAAATTAACCCGGAAGCATTCTAGTGTCCCAATACGGTATATGACGTAATGCCGACCAACCTTGGCTATCTGACTCTAGAGCGACGATCGTGTCAACGTTTATGAAGCAGCTGGGAAGCTGGGTTTTCAAATTTTTGGATAAAACTCTTTACCCGCTCAAAAGGTAGCTATACAGAGAGCGATTTTCACCGGCCACCGCACTCTACAAGTTTATACTGCAAACTCAAAAATGTTGCCAATTAAAAAACTAAAAACCAAATCATCCATATCATTTCACTTCATGATTTCAATTTCYACAGTGAGAATAATTTTCAATTCGTATAATCAGAAAAGAATAGTATGTCCAAGAAATCTGAATGATATAAGCTAAGTCATATGRCACAATTTTAATATCATAAGAATTTCACTTTTGAGTGTATTTACCAAGCAACAGCAAACAATGATATGAGAAATACTCTCAAATATTGAATTGGGTGTTTCCGTTAAAGTCTTTGATATTGCCAATATTATAAATAAATGATTGACAATAAGATATTTTTTTGCTTAAATCATCTTATCAGTCACTAAAGGAAAAAGTTGTTTTGCAGCGCGTCAGGGTTTTTTTTTTCACGTTGCCAACAAATAATTCATTCATTCAGTACAGGTGGCATTATATGATATGTGATCTCGCATTAACATTAATATCTATTCAAAGTGCTACTAGTGATGACATTTTTGACATTTTTTTTATTAACCAAGCTCAAACTGTGCAATGTAGATCAACGAGGAAAAAAGTGACTGGAAATGTTGTTATTGAAATCTTTAAATTTCTATTGCTAAACGCGCCAAGGCCAATGTTCTTAGCATTGTTTTGCATGATCCTTTGCCGTATTTTATTTGCACTAAATTACAACTTGATACAAATCCCTTGAATTTATCGCTGATTCCTTGTGTATTTAAACAAAAAATATAACATTGAATTACCATTTGAAACTGAATACTCGATTATATAGAGAAATTTGAACAGAATGAAGTCTGATGAATAAGTTGGGCGTTTGTCCTTACAATAATTATCATCAATGGAGCCATCTGTAGTAACTTTATGATGATAACTTCCACCATAATTGTCATATAATCACAACATATTTTATCATTATCATCACCGTTATCAACATCATCATCATCATCATCATCAGTGGCCATTACCATATAAAACTTAACCCCAAATGTTTCACTTGAAATTCTGAATAAAACCCAAACCAATGTTATAAGCTTTGACACCGGTTTTCTAAAAAGTGTTAATTTACTCGGTTGACATTCACACAAATGAAACATTCGCAATTAAATGTAAGAGCTAAAAATTGGTCCCCTGTTGACATAGGCTGATTGCTTGCTCAATTCTTATTCATAAAATGTCTAATGAAACCAAATTAGCATCAATCGTTAAACAGGTGCAGGACAGATAATACTGAATTGCAAAATATAAATTAATAAGACATTATTATGCTTCAACTCTATGAAAAACAACTGTCTGATGACACTTTCTAATCGCTTTGAAGTTGACTATCAGAGGACAAGAGAGAGCCTAACAGAATACGATATATCAAACGCAAAAGCTATTAAGACGTGGTTTCGTTTATGAAAGAATATTTGAAGAACTGAAAAGATGGTGAACTACAACGATTGAAACTGAAAAAGCTGGCTGCAACACTGAACTGTGAGTAACGCTTAAAGCTACATTCTGCAACCACAAAGTGAGTGCGTAGAATTCAAAATACACGTATTCAATAATAAAGGTAGAAAAAAAACAGTTATTGATACACTGAAGTAAAAAGAAATCTGCAAAGAGAAACCCGCGAAGTCACCTAAAATTCTAGCAACTAGTTACCATATTAAAAACCCGACAACAGAAAAAAGGGAACCAGTTGATGACATAGCAAGAAAGACATTTTAAAAACACTGCAGTCTGCTAAGAGTTCCAAAGACTTATCAGTTATACAAGGGAACACAGATAGGGAAAGACCATACGAAATTACGTCTGGTTTATGTAGCTGAATCGAAAGATTAAATCCCCAATTTATTAATGCAGAGGCTTYTATTACAAGTTTTCAAAGAGATGAACTTATAAATTGTACATTATTCATGTCAGACCACAACCTGTAGCTCTCAAACACGAACTGAGTAATTCAGATTAGACAAGTCTTGTTTGCGCACSGTGAACTAGGCAAAAACACAGCGGGAAGGGACGTTATCAAAATAAGTTATTGAGGAGCGCAAAATCTACATCTCAAAGCACAGGAATCAGTCAAGAAAGCTGTATTATAGGTYAATCYACAATAAAGAACTCATGAGAAGAAAGAGGATCCTTCACCCGCAAAATTGAGACCTTTTTATCATTGCTGAACTTATCTATTCTTGTCTATTCATTAAACAAACCAAGCTGAACTTTATTTCCATCTTTGAAAACGGAAATACTCAGTAAATCACTCAGAATCATAAATATAGCAAGTTGACATTTTAAAACTTGGAAACGCCGTGGAAAGGGTCTCAAGAAGCTTAATTCACAAAATGAATGATTCAAACCGCTGCAATCGTACTATTGAGAGCGAAGACAAAAAAATTATTGTTATATTCGCTATAATATACCCTATCCAAACCATTCTAACACTGGTCACCAATCTGATAGTGTGTTGGTTGGTTTACAAGACCAAACGACTGCGAACCCCAGGTAACATGATTCTGGTAAGCCTCTGCATCTGTGGGATGCTACAAACGATCGTCTTTGTTTTAAAAACTATTTTCACTTTCTCAAAAGACGAGGATGTTTGTAAAATTGTGCATCCTTTGTTGAAGTATATTGCCATTATCACCCAAGCACATTTGATAATTCTCAGTATTGACCGCTTATTTGCCATTACGTTCCCATTGCGTTACATAAAATGGGTTACCGTAAAGGGCGCGGTCATTGCCGCGGTAGTCGTGTGGGTAATTGGTTTGTTCTTGATATTTGCGATATCATATAATGGCGAAGAAGGGAAGTTTTGGAAAGGAATGGCGCACTGCAGTCGTAACCGCTCGCTCAGGAAAACACCACACAAGAAGACAAATATGGTTGTCAAATACTCATGTATATATTTCCTTCCACTGACCATAATCGTCATTTCGTACACAATATCTTTCCGAATTGCACTTAGCCAAGTGAAGGAGATCTTCCCAATGACAGAACACAACATGAGAAAGAAATCAGCTTTAAAAGCGGCCAGAACAACAGCTATACTCATTGGGACATACTTCATCTTATACACCCCTTCCTACGTTTCTGTGATTGTTCACAAGCTAAGAAATCGCGGGCCTGGCTACGGTCCCTGTAATACTGGTTACTATGTTCGATTAATCACCTCAAATATTTGGTTAGCAGCTGCATGGATAAACCCTCTAGTCTACACGATGACCAACGCAGACTTTAAAGAAACTCTCTTGAAACTTTTCAAACGATGTGGGGTGAAACCTGTTCATTCGCATTCTGCAGATTTATCAAACGATTCAAAGAGAGGGAAATAATTTGTGGTCGAACCTCTTATTTAGGACAACAAAACGCCGCAAAAGAAATTGTCCGTAGTACAGAGGTGTCCGGAATAAGGAGGTGTGGCAATAAGGCTTATGAACAATGCCTTAATGGACTAGCGAATACCCCTGATTGTTGCCCTTTAAGAGCACTAAAGGACATATACAACTATAAGCTGAAAGCTTAAATCAAGACAAGGTATTCATGGCCATTGTACAGCCAATATAGTCTTTTATGCCATGTTCAATAACCAATAACTAATAGTCTTTCTAGTCATCTTTCTGATTTTAAACTGGCATAAACAATATCGTAATCCTAACCAAGAATTACCATAGACAAGACAGGATCGTTTCTACAGCCAATATACAGTCTTATTCTTTTTGTGAGAGGCCGAGTGAAAAAATAAACATAAAATAGGAACATTTTTTAGTTCACGCAAATTCGAAAAGACCAAATGATAGCGATGAGCGTGAAGTCTACTACGAGTTATAAGTTTGGTAAGTTGACAGACGACGGAAGGTCATTCTTGCTTTCAAGAACTATAATCGACTAGTCAAGTCCTTGTGGCCTTTATACAGACAATACAGACTTCTCATCACGGAGATCGTAATCAATCCTTAGCAAAGTAATTATAAGAGATTAATGGCGTTAAATATATCGTTAGGGTTCATATTTGTAGACGAATCGTATCTATAGGTCTAGCGATGTTTTGATTAACATTTCAAGGGTGTGTCGTTGATAGTATTTAAGCGATAATCGCAGCCTGCTCACTATCTATCGGATGAATAGTGAGCAAGTGTTGCTCCAACCACATGCGCTTATTTAAAGATGATTTATGCGTTAATAGAAAAAAAGACCAATCATTGTACGATTCACGCAAATAGTGGTAAGAATTATGTAATAAGTTCTGACAGCCATGTGATTGATATCAATACGAGTATAAAAAAAAAACAAAAAAAAAAACGAGTATAACAACATAATAAAATACAGGTAGTATGTAACTATCACCTTGCCAGCACTTCGCCTTTGCCCTTGAACCTCCTGTTGGGAATAATCATGGTCATTGGATTTTGTCTCTTATTTATACAGCTTTTTATCTTTTCATACCGCAAACTCGGAAAATGAAGCTACATAATCTCTCCAATTCCGCTGAAGTACCCCTACCACGTTACCAGTTGGCATGACGTCACTAACTTCACTTCCATGTTGTGATGAATCTAACAGAAAACAGATATTATTAGGATATCATTAGACGGCTTGCGGTGATCAATAAAAACGCTCACCTTCTTCATTAGACTTTAAAGATTTTGACTTTCCTTTCCATAGAGTCTTAGGAAATAGTTCTACTACCACAACATCCCCGTGAACAGCACGATTTCTGAAATTACATAATATGAAAAGTATATATATGATATCAAAGAGGCAAGATTTTGCTGTAACTCCGAGTTTCGTGCTACGCACTCATCAGACAGTATTTAATGATAAACATTCCTATAATCTAGATATATATACATGGTATAGAACAAAAGGCTAAGTGCTAGGCTATTTACATACAATACGTGATAGTTATGCTAGAAACAATAGGTGTGAAGGTAAAAATTACAAAGGAGAGTATACTATTAATTAAAACTGCGTAGGTCTGAATACGTGTGAATACAATAGGCTGTAGAGGTTTCAAGTGTTCTTCAGGTAGAATTTGTTTTCGTGTCGGCATTCTGATCTTTTGTTTAGTATATTGTCGTTACTGTGTTTAATTATCATAAGTTGAGCACTCTTTAATGGGATCAGCCACTTCCTCATACGATAATATGAAAATTAATTATAAGTAATAAACAGATTTGTAAAGCATAGTTAATATTAACTATGTGTAAAGTAATTTGCAAAGTTTCACCTACGAACCTGTGAGGTGTCCCTTCTAAGAGGATGTCAGACAGTGATACATCTTTGCCAGTCGATACACCAATACTGCAAACARAATATCATATAAATGGATGCATAGAAAAATGAATAAATGAATTCATGAACAAATCTCATTAGTTCTTTGTGGAARGGGGTGGAAAACGTCCTCTGCTMGCAGGGTACTAGAAAACAGACATATTCCTCAAATATCAAATTGAAAATGGGACAAAATTKRAATCTTTTTTATTCAACGAATGACCTCAAAACATGATTTTAAAGCAACTTCTCATACTTTTTACAGTGCATAATGTATTTTATTTCTAAACTGAAGTGGACTACRTTACCTTTGTCTTTGTATGAATGCTTCTGATTGGGCATTATGTTTGTTTACATTCAGACATCCTCGATGGTAGCGTCCCTGAAAATGTCAAAAAAGCCATATCATTTTAATTGGTTGATAGAGTTTGAAATGAACAATTGAATAAATGGAAAAATGAATAAATAATGTTACTTACAGATTTGATTCCWGCTTCAAGGACATCCAAAGGAAGATACTCTTTGTATTGTTTGAGATGTGAATCAACATTAACTATATAAAATGACAAAAACACAGTTTGGAAAAGTTTAAAAAAGATAGGAATAAACTCTTAAAGAAATATCTGAAGAATGGTAGGAAGAAAAAAATAATAATTGAGCAAGTTTGATAAAAAGAAAAAAAAATGTGATAATTATTACAAAAAAAATACTGAAGCTTCATGTTTGTTTCTCATTTTGGAGGAAATAAGAAGTGAATGAATAAATGAATGGATGAAAGGATGTAAGAGGTACATATATAGACCCCTTGCAGTTCATGGGAATGCAGCTCCAACTGGAGGACAAAACAATGGATTCTAGTTCCCCAAGGGGGCAGAAATCTTTTGTTTTATCCTTGAAGTGAAGCTACTAAGATGTCAAATATCAATATTTATAYRACTCATCCTACCATGTGTGTCATGTGYMTCATGAATGGCTGCGTGAAGTGATTCATATAGGTCATGTACTGCACTCTCACTGGGGTAAAAACCATTTAGATAATCATCCACRGTCATTACAAATATACCAAGTGTCTTGTTGCCATATGATTCAACTAACTGAAAATCAAGTGAGCAAAAAATGAATTAGCATTAATAATCATATTAGAGAGTTTATAAGCATCATRTTTACGGCAAACAGCTAACRGCAGAGCTGAACCAATGACCTAAGAATTTYGTGYCTGACCTTGTGCTTTAGGCCTAGTCATTTGAAAGAGCGACTTTTCACAATTAGGGCAACTCCAAAATAACCCACTCTCGCATTGACACTGTAACGGTAAACCCCCCAAAAGMAGTCATGTGATCTTTTCTGCAGTTTGYCRYTTGCCRTGAACGTCATGCTTAAGCTCTCTATTAAGTATCATCATCATCATCATCATAAAAATCATTATATCAACATTATATCATTATATTAACTATAAATAAAGATTAATAACAAGTACCTCTTTGTCGTTTGATACAATAACAATTGGAATTTTACAATCAAGATGACTGTGATACCACACTGCACCAGAATATATACTCCTGAAACGAAACACCATATGATAATGATGAATATAAATAAGTATCAGCATCATGACGTCAAAAATACCTTTGTTGCCATTCCTGGAGAGAYTCTCCAGAATTCCTTTCTGCATATGCTCCCTGGCAAAACTCATTTGAAAAGACAACACATTGTTGTCKTGTGTCTTTGATCAATGCTTTTAATCTGTTGAAAAGCTTCCTGCTTCCATGATGCTGAACCTAAAAATTAACAAAAAACAAAACATTCAAATGAATGAAATTGAGTAGAATAGATGATTTTCTAGTATTTACTTGCTTACATGATTGAGTACAGTTTGAAAGAACAATACTCCTTGAATCTCTGGAAACTCAAAGATCTCAAGAAAAGACGAAGTCACCTGGAATGAAGCAGATAAGTTTATCGGTTTAGTTAAAAATAGACATTTAGATTTTGACTTGAAAAAATAAGAGTGATAAACAAAATTTACATTAACATCTGGGACGACATAATGAACGAGATCTGATGACAACAGTACATCGCCTGCAATCGCAAAGAAAACAACAAAGTTTATAAACTTTTATAAGCTTAATAAGATCTTAAGATTAGAATTATTATAACTACTAAATTCCCACCGGATTCTCTATTATGCTTGTTACAAGCTTGACTGTGACAATCTATATCATCCCTCAAGTAGTGCTCTCTCACTACATTCAAAACTCTTCCACTTTTAGTCTTCAAACGGAGCTTTTTGTCAGTTTTCAACATTGTCTATAAAATCGACTTTCCCGCCGCCATTTTGTTTTGTTCACGTGACTCYTTACACAGGGATCCCAAGTGAATTGTTTTGAGATGAGATTTTACTTTTTATCCTTCMTTCAACGTTAAAGTTAAGTGCTTTTAGGGGCAAKGTGACTTAGTATCACCAATAAAACTTGCTTTTCATATGCGGAAACGGTAGYTCCCGAGGCTGTATACATCGCGATCATAATTACAAAAGTCACATGTWATCAATTTTTAGCGCAAAATTTTACCATCATTTTGTTTATTATTATTATAGATATCGGCTGTGAATTCTGACATCTCCTCCAGGTGTAAGATGTATAGACAGCTAATTCAATAACTGGGCCATCATCGCTCGCCACATTATTTCTAAACCGCACTATTATCAAGTCAATTCAAGGCCAATATAAGCGAGTCTATTCTCCCACTTTTCGGAGATAAATTTCTACTTATCTTTGTAATAGAAATTTTTAAACGCCAAGATTTCTGTTACTCGATTTTTGATAACTTTATTTCTTAAATGATCTTTTGCCGCGTCTGTTTTTTCCATCCAAACTCAATTGACGAATAAACCTTAGTAAATGATTGATATGGTTCTTTATGGCTCAATAAAGATATTATACACAAGTACATCTTTTTTGCGTTTTCACGGTTCGCTCCTGACAATAACCACATGGCAGTTTTTAGGCGAGACCTAACATGATAGCGGCGTCTAGAGCTCTCAAGCCCTTGATCTTTTTTTRCACAATTGTTCAACTACGACAATCCCGCCTGTTTGAACTTGTTTATTTATTATTGCCCTTGCTTGAAAGCCAGTATAAAAATAAGTACAAAGTACTAAGAGCTCATTATTTCAAATTCGTGACATACGATTTACGTTTCATAMATTATTAAGTTGTTTTAGTTATCAAATAATAATTATTGCGCGGTACTTCAGATTTTTGACAAACACACGTACTGACTTATTAAGACATYACATCACTCAACACGCAACTCCGCTATAAGCTCTGCACGATGTGTTCAAGTGCTCCTTTTAACATTGGTTGTCAAGTGAGAAAACTCACCTTAATTCAAGGAAAGCGACAGTTTTGATATAGCGATATATAATTCATAACTGAGTGGACACGGACTGTGAGCCGAACTGTGAATGCGATAGGGGCGGGCTCAATATACATCGTTAAACCCTTTGACGTATAATTTAGCCTAGTGAAATCCTTGTCTAACCAACACAAAAGCCAATATTAATCACATTTACAATGTCGCGCCTCGTATCAACCGTAACCAACGAGAATAAAATGAAACCAGCCAACGACTACCTGAAGGGAATCTAATCATTCATCACCGGAGTGAGACGACGCAGCTTAAAGACCTCTGACCACAAGGCGTTAATRTAATTTATTAATGATTTGAAGAGTTGGTTAAAAAAAACACGATGGAGAACAGCACAGCTCAAGCGAACAACTCTATCGCTCCAAATTCGTACATCAAAGAGCCTTATGTTCTTGAAATCTTTCGGTTRATCTTTGTCACAAGTGTGGCAATTGTAGGCGTCTTTGGTAGTATAACGGTTTGTTTGGTGGCACCTAGTAGTAAGAAAAAAAGATCCGCTGGGAGTCTTTACATACGCAGTCTTGCAGCGGCCGATATCGGAAACCTCGTAGTGAACCTCCCGATTGCTATCATCAAGGAACAATCGCCATTTTATTGGCCTTTGGGTAAAGAAGTATGCTTCGTTTTTTACCCATTGATGGAACTCTTCCACGGTGCTTGTATTTGGTCAATAGTTGCTATAGCTATAGAGAGATATATGGGGATYATCAACACTAAAAAACAATCACTAAAATCTATAAGAATCATAGTGTCTGTAATATGGATTGCATCATTTGTGTTTCTCGTTTTTCCACTATTGTTCACCGTGAGACACGTTCAAACTCCTRTCGGAACTTTTTGCTTTTTTGCATGGCCTTCTCCGCTAAGTCACGACGTCTACAATGTTATGGACACAGTTACRCTGTATATCCTCCCGCTTATAACAATCACGTTTACTTATCTTAGGATTACAAGAGCAATTAATGTTAGCAGCAATCTCCACAAAAGACTAAGCTCGCAAACAGAAGTCAGAAGACGCGAAGAGATGAGACGCGTAAGGCAAAATGCACGCACTAAAAAACTCCTCACTCCGTTAGTCCTCGTGTTCACCATAACCATGCTACCAGTCAACGTATTTCGAGTCRTGCTGATTTTTTGGAAAAGCTTTACTAGTCATAAGTTGTTTTTGATTTTTTATAATATTTGTGTCCTTGGAATTGTGGTCAATTCAGCGGCGGATCCAATTATTTATTCAATTGTAACGAAAGACTTTCATTCGCGTTTGAAGGCTTTTTTCGCCAAAAGATCATTTTCTCGTGATGGTCCTTCTTCGACAACTTGGGGGATGCGTAACGCGACAGTGAAAGAGACYCTACTTTGAAAACGASCAAAATTATGGAAAACTACATAATTGTGCGTTAAACTTCAATTAAAGTCAGAAACAGGAATTGATGAATATTCAGTGCAACGCTCTCATTAAGAAAAGGTATAATGGCAAATGATTCTTCATGCATAGAATCATTTTCATTAAGAAGAGAACTTTACTTTAAAAAAATATCATATGATTTAAATGTAGATATATATATATAAATTCATAGTTACCCTAACTTAACACCAAGGCGTTTATCAAAAAACGTTTTTACGGCAATCAAAAGATAGATACCGCATTTGCATGATGTWGATATTATCACTTTGCTTGAAAATCAACAAGGACCTCTTTGCGTCAGTAGAAAAATTTCTTATCGCRAAGCACGCACCTTTGAAAGCTTAAGCACTTTCTTCGTTATCATTYCACGAAGAATGTAGAAAATAGAATTGTGATGAATAAAGGTATATTTCCGGAGAGGACTTCCTCATATGAAGAACCCATTAACTCCGCTGCTCAAATAAGCAGAATTGACTGAAAAAATCGTTTTTCCACATTTTGAAGCTCTTCTTATCATAAAACTAGAAAATTGGGATAAAAAATAATATCATCAAAAATTGCCGATATAGTGTGTTGAAGGACAAACCCTTGCCATAACTATAACTTTTTTCGTTTCCGAAAGACAACAAACATTAAACAAGTATGTGCAAGATATTTGACCTGTAGTTCTACTGGATAATATTTCACCTCCATGTCGACGAAGTCCTTCAAATGACAAGTTAAGTCCTAATTTATTGGACATCAACTAATCTTATTCAAGAGCACAACATTGCGAACAAATTGTTTTTGCTAAATATCTCATTGTTTGACGCCGTGGAGGCTGCATTGAATGTTTTACGAGCACTTCATTTGGGTGTTTCCTCATACCTCGCTAGACAAAATGTCACCTTTACCTACAAGAAATAAAGCGGAACTATGTGCGGAAACCGAATCGGTCGCAAAAAGGAGGTTTTGCCATGGATAAAAAGGATGTCTGGATCTGAAGTCTATAATACACTGTAATCATGGTGACATGGTATTTTCTATATGGGCTACCAACYTTTGCAACTATTTATCTCCGCGATGTCAATAAGTACTTCATCATTCATCGAAACTAAAGAGCTTTTTACTTGAACAATTTTTAGATGGCTAGTTATAGAAATATTTACATTTTCTTAAATGTAAGAGCACTGAGCCAGTACAATATGTTTTTATTCACGTACTATTTAAATGAAGAAAGACATAAGGAAAAACACTATCGCGAGAACACTTGGCTGGGAATCATGCCCACGGTCTTGGAACCACCTGCACACCGCTGAAATTCCGAGAACTTGCCCAGTAAATTTTATTGGAAAAAATCGCGCGCTTTGAAGGTTGTAAATTTGATGTAAATATGATGTAAGTGTCCAAAATTCTGTAAATTTAATGGAAATCATTTAAATCAAATATACAGAATTTTAGACACTTACATCATATTTACATCAAATTTACAACCTTTAAAGCGCGCGATTTTTTCCAGTGAAAGACGCGGAAAAACAAGATATAAAGCCACTCAACTTGTCGCCCAAGACAAACTGCCAGTACTCAGACAAGGTGAGAAACGAGAAACATTCACTCTAAATTTGAACAACTGTACGACAAGTTGTGAGTGGGTTKGTATCTCGTTTTTCTTTTAAAGTAATATAAGGAAAAGGGACTGACTTGAGTAGTCAATTTGAAATGGCTGAGTGGACAATTTGTGGAGGCTGCAGAAGGCTGTTATTCAAAATAAAATTTCTTCTTTTTTTCGCGTCGAAAGCAGAGTAAAAAGGTTTAAACATCAGAACGATTAATAGAAATTTGTCAAGACACGATTTAACTGAAGTACTGTCTATAGTCCTTAAAGGGACATGGTTAACCAGCATTCAATGCGGTACTGTTTTATAATTTTCATATATGGAAAATGAGGTGACTTCAAAAAGCAATTCACAATCGATTTTCATCCGATTTTAAGATCCAAGTTTTTGCTTATTTTACAATGAACTGTTATTTTTAAACATTAACAAAAGCTAGTTCAGCTAGTCAGTCGCAAGGGATACCGGTTCGCTATGTCGAGACTTTAAATAATTTAAAACTCTCGTCATTGAACATTCATGTACGATACTTATGAAATGTTAATAGCCCTAACTAAATAAGATATATCCGAGTAGAATACAAATTAACACTTTTGCCGAGATAAACCAAGACAACTCTTTCATAAGGAATGAAGTACACGGCTCGCAGTTTTCGATTTTAGTTTCAAATCCGAAAGGCGAAATATAAACTTGTTCAATCGAGCGAATTTATCATATTCGCGAAACACTCGTAAAAGGAACAAATTATACTTAAACTCTTAAAAGAAGGAGTTTGTATAAAATGCGCATAATTTATTCAGTATGTAACTCAGTTTCAAATTATAACGAATGCATTTTTCTCACAACACATAAATTTCTTTAAAAACGTCTTTAATATTGGTAAATTTTGAACATGATTGTCGTTCAACTTTAAAATGTTTATAGAAGAGTATCAAAGGTACCGCGTCCAAATCGTGTCTTCGCAGCGGGTTGATTTTTTTTCAAAGCCACCATGGAATCCTTGGTGATATCAGATATCCCACCTTTTTTTACATGAAGACAATAAGTTGTACTTGTTTTTGCTTTATGATAAAATAAGCTTCTAAGCATGAAATCGGTTCAGTTCAAAAAGTTCTGTTTCTACGTCGTTAAATAGTCCCCTGTGGTTATAATTGACGACATGTGATTGATCTTAGTGGGAGAGGAGGTAGCTATTTTAAAAAGAAATTAAATGGATAGATTATCATAAACAACAAACTAGCTTTTTACATAGCTATTTCAAAAAAGGTTGTCGGATAATATGGCACTAATGTCAATGGTCGAACGGCGATTGCACGACCGAAAGTAGCCATGGGTTTTGCTAATTGAAAGGCAATAACAACTCATTTGTACTGTAAGATAGTCTGTGGTAAACACTGCCTCCATTTAGTTTCCATTTCTATGTAAGGTGAATCCAATAAGTGAAATTCTGTTTATCAAAACAGTGTAACCATAGTCCCTTTCGGTCGTGCAATCTCCCTTCGAAAATCGCTGTTCTCCCCGTCAACGTTTTTTGAAATAGCTGCATTTCCAAAGATACAAGAATTGTCTGCGAGTTGTTTTAACCACACCCTCCCACCCCCTTAATGCAAGGAAAAAAAACTACTAAACTAAACATCCTATACGGGAGATTTGATGGTTCATTTGCAAATAACAAACCATTGTTGAGGAATGGCCGACCTCAACATTTTCACATCTTTACTTTGCATTAATCAGGCACCCGAGCCAGGGATTAGCCCCCCCTTTCAATAATTTGTCTGTCATTTTGAAAACATTCGTCTATTCATCTGGCGCTTCTCACAAGTTGTCCAACCACGATTTATCCCCCCTCCCCTCCCAATAAAAATTATGCTGTGCAGTAYCTAGGATTACAGAGAAYTCATATTTGCCATCAAAGTTGAGAGGGAGTAGCTCATCCTTCACACGTCAGTCATAACAAAATACCATTTTTGTTTTTAAAAYAACATTAATAAAATTTTTATTTTTAAGCTGACTTTCAGTCTAACTTTATATCACATTTTTTTTTAATTTACTGCAAATCATGACAATAAGATAAAAAAATTCAGTTCTATATACATTTTGGTTTTAAGAAAACTAAACCTTCATAATAAAAATAGTCATGTGTTTATCTTGAAATCTCCTAATCAATTATGATAGTACAATATATTACATTCTCATAATCTAACTTAATAAAACAATTTCTAAAATTATAATTCTGAAAATTTGTAAATGCAATCAGAAGTACATCTGATGCAATGATAAATTAATGATATCTTTAAACTTAGAACTACTTTCCCAAAAAGATGCAAATGAAGATATTTAATGTATCGACTGCATGATATCAGATAGCCGATGTAGCTCAGCTAGGGAGGCTGGGAGTGTGCTAACACTTGCCCAGGGTGTGCACCAAGACTAATTGAGGAAAGAAGACACCTTACTTCTAGACCAGCTACAAGCAAAAAACCAGCTACTGTCTACATCAGTTGTTGGCAATACAGCTTAATTCTATTGTAAGGTTTCAGGGTTTTGACAAATGTAGCCTTGTAAGGTTTCAATTTTTCATTTCAAAATCCAAGACAGATAAGGTTACATTTAAAGGCCCTTTGTTAGGCATCTAATTGTCTATGTCCATTGGCATTTCATGCTTAAAAGCTGTGGCAGTTTCCTCTCCAAATATGTCTCCTAGAGTGACATTTCCACTGATTTTTGCTTCAACATCTTTAACAATTGAAGACATCAAGACTCCTTCCTCATAGCTGAAAAATGTTCCTTTATTATGACCTTGGCTGTGCATTACAACTATTTTTTTAGCATGCACCAAGAATCCAGGTGAACCTGAAGATCCCTCAAAGAACGTACTCACATTATAATGAGCTGCATGTTGTTGCCTTATGTAGAGACTGTTGGGACCACTATAAAAATTTGGATTTGGTGCTGCACTGTTTAATGGACATGAAGGTTCGATGGACTTTGGATGTCCACCAGGGTGACCAATCAGAGTGATTGGTTCTTCAATAGTGTAGCCAGGGAGTGCTATCTGGTACCCAAAGTCAGTGACACTGGGTGGCAGGCTTTCTTCAGACCCTTGTAGTTTTAGGATTGCATAGTCCAATGCCTCTACTTTCAGGTAGTTAGCACTTGCATCAACATGGTAAGTTTGACCTCCAAAACCTGTGTAGTTAAAACTAACTACTGTATCTTTCCAGCTAAAGCCATGCTTCTCTATGTTATTCAAAACATGTGCATTTGTCATTATATATCCTTTGCCAATCCTGAAGCATGTTCCTTCAAAATGGTGTTGAACAGGCTTTTTGCTATGATCGTAACGAACTGCTATGACAGCCCCAACACACCTGCTTTCATTATCAATTAGATCTTTCATGTCTGTCACCAAAATATGGTGTTTGAAATCTAGTGAAAACTCCTTTGTATGGAATGGTTCCTTGTCAGAGGATACTAACTCAAAAAATCCTGGAATAGCTTCATTKCTCAGTGAGATGAGTTGGCCYTCCTTGTTCTTYAAATGGCATTTGCATATTCTRGGKTTTCCATCTTGTKCTTGATCAAATCTTGTATTATTGTACAGGGCATCAAAAAATGTTTCTCCCTCAAAAAATGGAATTCKAMTGRCTTGTTGCCCWTCTGYACTGAATGTGACATAAAAGTGTTTCAAGTAAGCATCACAYGACTCRTCGTAGTCTTCCATATCAGTCTTCTTCACCATCTCATTTGTGTTGTGTATGAGCTTTGKTTTGTTAATGCCTCTTTCATATAGACCAAGGCTGGTAATGTAACCATCTGAAGACTTCTCTAGCATGTGGTTTGTGCACTCACTAATGTTCTCAAGACAAAGAATTTTTTCAACCATGTCCAATGTCTGTTTGACTCTGTCATTAGCTCTATTCTTGCCTTCTTTAGTGAACATGCTAAAAAGCATAACATAAACTTAGAGGAAAAGAATTCACTGCTTTGATTGTCAAGTTGTATTTAGCTTTGACACACCACAAACAAATCATAATATCCACATATTATATATTTTAAAGACCTAATAATAATAATAATAATAATAATAATAATAATAATAATAATAACGATTTATTGAAGCATATCCACATGGTGGCTCTACATCTTCACAAATAATTAAATGACCTACCACTCTTTTGGCCACATCTTTTCATTGTCCTCCTTAAATTCTTCTCCATCAATTTTATGGCTAAACAAACAGAAAAGCACATAATAATAGATTCATGTAAGATAATTGTTCATTTTTTGGTAGGGTCAATTTCATCTTCGTAACTATCTCCATCAGGGCATAGAGCAAATGCATGAAAACCATGAAATAAAATCAAACTAAATACTAACAAATAGCGGCTATTGAGACAAATTGTCAGTATCAATGAACCAGAATGCAATAAAGATAAATGAAAAATGGTCCCATGTGGATTCAACTTCATTGTGTTCTGGTTCATTGATACTGAAAAATTGTCTCTAAATAGCCGCTATTTGTTAGTATTTAGTTTGATTTTATTTCATGGTTTTCATGCATTCGGCTCTAGATACTAGGATTTGACCAACATCAATGTTAGAATGATGGAAGCTAGAAGTTAGCTAGTATAAGCTGTTTTAGTGTTCTTCAAAGAAACAGTAGTGAAATAAGATCAATTTCACATCATAAAAAGTAGTAACTTACTGATGTTTTGTATATTAGTCCTTGGAAGGAGTTAATATTAAGACACATTAGACTATGTTATGTTAAAAAAAAATCTTAAAAAAAAAAAAAAAATCTTTCAAACAAACAAAAGTTTAAAACTCCTGTCCTGGAGGTCTCACCAAGGACTAAACTTTGACTGATGTAGAGAGGTTTTGTGTTAAGATTCATACCCCGATTCATTGTGCTTGCTGAAGCAGCCTTCTTGGTTGATGGTAGCTGTGTAATAAGTTTAATAATATACAATAATCAATAAATATATTGTACATTTATTGCAAAAATGACAGATTTTGTTATCTGATTACAGCAATGAGCTTTTGATAGCAAAAGAAGTGTTGAAGCCAGTCATTACATCTACTGCAGAGATCTCCAAAATGTCGTGTGATTTCATTTCTGTATCAAGAAGTCATTATAAGGCAACATAACATGATATTTCTTTGAAGATACACCATAAATGTTTTGGTGGGAAATATAATTCAGACTCAAAAMATCCTGGAAAAGCTTCATTTTTAAGTGAGATACTATGGCCTTCCTTATATGTCATCTCAGGTATATTCTTGATTTTCCATCTTGTACTCAAGCAAATCTTTATCATTGTACAGGACTTCAAACAAAATCTTTCCCTTGAAAATGGAACTTGTAAGGTTTCACCAAGAAGCATTCTAATGACTTGTGTCCCATGCATCCCAAATAAAAATAAAAATCCCAAAAAACATTGTAGACCTCCTTGTAGTCATCATTTGTGAATACATATTTCATTAACTTCATCCTTATAAAGCACACTAGATGGGAGACCAAGGTTGATAATGTAACCATCTGAAGACTTTCGACAGCACGTGTTTTCTGGATTTGTTAATAGTGTTCTCAAGACTAAGTTTAGCTTCAAGTCAAATGACTGTTTTCTTTGTCATAGTTTTTGATGTAATGTTTTTTTCGATTCGTTTCTGTTTAAAAAAGTCATTACATAAAGCAAATTGACATAATATAACCCTTAACAATGGATTTCACCTGATATTTCATTGAAGCTTATACAATAAATGTTTCCAGTTCATTTGACTTTTGGCGGGAAAAGGATCACAAATTCACAAAGACTATAAAAATTGCAAGTAAGCAAATTTTACTAAAATTTAATTTGTCTTGTGTTATCCACTCTTAAGTGTCCCAAAAATATAACAAATATAGAGCAATGGCATAGTTTCAGAATATCTACTCTATTTACAAGAAAGATGATAATACTGTGGTATTTTTTTCGCAAATCTATTGCTGTCACAAAGCTCGGTCTCGAGATCGAGTAGAACGACCACACACCAGATATAAACATCAGATCTCTTAAGGTAATCAATTGGCTTTTTCAAACTTATCACTGAAAAATGACGCTGTATACATATTGACTTGATAATAAACCACGCTCAAAGAATCAACTCAAAGACAACCAAACAGCAAGCTTACGAGGTTGATACGAGGTCGCCATTTTGATACCTGGAAACTTATAAATCACAGGTCGGTCTCCCTTTCGATGGTTCGATAGCATTGTATAAGTACTGCCAAACGACTAAAGTAAGCTTTAAACACACTTACACRGTGAATCCATTTTCAAATCAACGCAATAACCAACTAGAATCAGCTGTTTGTTTAATTCTTGCGGGTCGCTCCTTTGTCTTCTCTCGAATGACGCTGTTTTCGTCGAACCTTCGAACAAATATCGCGCGCTTTGCCATGATTGGCTGATATTTGAAGATGAGGTTCCCGTATGGGAAATATTAAATTGTAGACTCAAGCGGACTCAATTATCAACAATTTTTTTTTTCTACATTTGTAATTTGTATAGAAGAGTATCAAAGGTTCCGCGTCCAAATTTTGTCTCAGCAGCGTTTTTTTTTTCCAAAGCTACCATAGAATCCTTGGTGATTTTAGATATCCCACTTTTTTTTACATGAAGACAATAAGTTGTACTTGTTGTTGCTTTGATAAAATAAGCTTCTAACCATGAAATCGGTTCAGTTCAAAAAGTTCTGTCTCTACGTCATTAAATAGTCCCCTGTGGTTACGTTGCTGTAATTAAAGACTGTCGACAGGTAATTGATCTCAGTGGGAGAGGAGGTAGCTATTTAAAAAGAAATCATGTAAATGGATAGATTCGGGACTGTGGAAAATGAAATTTCTTTCAGAAGAACACTGCTTTTAGTTGTTTAGCTTGTTTTTTTTGTTCATTTTATTTCTTCTAAATGTTAGCTCTCTAAAAAAATTCACCCCCTAAAAAAATCCTGGATCCGCCCCTGGAGAATTATAAGTTATTCTTGATGAATGAACCCCACATTTTCACATCTCTTTGTTTAAAAGCTACAGAAAGCTGTTATATTTGCTCTCATCCCCCGTAACACATTAGTTGTAATAAACATGCCATTTAACATTTGAAAACAAATTTATTAAACTTTTTTTTTCTTCTTTGATGACTTTCAGTCTAACTTGATGTTACATTTTATTAATCACTGAGAACTATCACAATAAAATTAAGAAATTCAGTGCTATTTACAGTTTTGAAAAAATGAACCTTCATGATGCAACATCATAAAAGGAAAAACTAGAATATTAAGAATGATCTAAAAAATATATCATAACATCACTTAATACAAGAATGTATCTAAAATCTAATTATTTTATAATCATATTTTCCTAAAAAATAGGATAGATCTAGTACACAGTACTGCTTTATATCAGATAATCCGTAACCCTGTTAGGGAGGCTGAGGGTGTGCTAACACTTGCCCAAGGTGTACACCCAGGCTAGTGGAGGGAAGGAGGTGCCTTTTGTCTCCATTCTAGACCGGCTCCAAGCTAAGTCTAGCCACTGCCCACATAATAAAATTACATAAAATCAACTTAAGGAAGTTCAGATACTTGAAAGCTTAAACAATACTTTAATTATTATCAACTTCCATGTTCGTTGGAAGATCAAACAATTCCTCTGCCTTTTCAACACCAAGTTTTTGCTTAACATCTTCTACTATGGCAGACATTAAAATTCCCTGTTCAACTTTACTTTGATTATCATCTTGTAAGAAAAACCCTCTACAGTGAAGAACCATTAGGTAGCCTTCATGTATTAAAACCCCTGGTGACCCAGAGCTACCATGAAAGAACGTACTCACATCGTAAGTCTGTCTTCTTGGGTCCCTTAGTTGATTCCGGTCATACATTGATAATCCAATTACAACTCTGTTATCAAGAGTGTCAGGGCTTTTCAACGGACACAGCCAGTCAGTGACAGTTTCATTAGATCCCTCAGGGTGCCCACTGAAGGTGAGAAACACACCCTCTTGATTACATTTACGAAATGGTGGAATAGTAAAGAATGATGTTACACTCTTTGGTAATTCCCAATTGTTTGGTTCAGAGACCTGAAGTACTACATAATCGAGCTCCTTAGATTTAATAACGACTCTAGACACAGTACAACTGGTCTGAGAAACGCTATTATTGCCCATGTATAAAAAATCAACATGAACTTTCTTCAGCATTCCTTGCTGATGTTTTTCTTTGATAAACTTCCAAACATGCTCATTTGTAATGACATACTTGGGGCCCACTCTGAAACAGGTGCCTCTAAACATTTTTACCCCACTGGTAAGTTCAATCACTATTGCAGCAGTGGAATCACATAGCTGACTAAGTTTTTTCACCTTCGATGCACCTAATTGGCAATTTTGGCTGAGAGCAAAAAGGTCACAACCATTTTTGACAAACTTATTAATTTTTTTGAGCCTCTTACTCTCTTTTGTTTCAGCCTTTTCCTTAGTTATTTTAATATCATATGTATTTTCAATGAAATTTTTCAACTCCTCATCAGAATGAGGAATTAGCTTTTTGGTAGACTCACTACCCTGTACTATGTTGTCTGGGGCTGAAGCACCACCTTGTGCAGGTGACTGTTCTGATTGAACAGGAGTTACAGGATGATCATAAGTCAGTGCCAATCTTTTTTGAGGGAGTGAATAATCTGGAAAAGATACATTTTTCCTCAAAAATGGAGGGTATGTCAAAGGTTCTACTTTATGACTGATGTGTGCCTTTGAGTGGTAAAACTCAAATTTCATGCCATCATAGCGAGTGGCATTATTGTCAATCGGCACTTTAACTGTGCTACCTACTTGTTGTAAATCACACTGTGAAATAGCTAGTGATCCATCCTTTTTCTCAATATCAAATCTTCCATCTCTGCACAGTGCCTCATAAAATGTCTCCCCTTTGAAAAAAGGGACTTCTATTAAATTTAAGACTTTAGACATTTTAGTCACATGAGGTTTCGATTCCCTATCATTGTCAAACTTCACACAAAAAGATTGTGTGTCCCATTGTTTACTATATCGCTCTACTTCAAACTCTCTCACCATCTTACTAGTATTATATTCTAACTTCTCTTTAAAGATACACTGGTACTGTTCATCTTCCTTGAGTGTGCCAGTTGGCAGCCCAAGATTAAGAGCAGATCCTGTCCGTATGTTTTTGAAAATTAATAGGGATATGGGCTTTTTTAGACTGTACTTTTCCAGCATGCGTTTTATCATGCTCAGTATTGTTTCCCTACCACTAGTTTCACACATTGTGGCATCACGGGCTGTGTTAACCAGTTTCACCTGAATTTGAAGAGGTGTTTGTTCTGATAGTTGCCCATGATCTACTGAAACAACCTGAAGAGATTGTTGTTCTGATAGTTGCCCATGATTTACTGAAACAGCCTGAAGAGATTGTTGTTGTAATAGTTGCCTATGACATAATGAAATAAGATATGTTACAGCAATATGCAGAAATTCTGATCATTTTGACTCATATTCCAAGTATATATAAAGTATATCAGAAATTATGGGATATCATCACAGATAGGTTTTTGAAGTTACCTAGTACTTAGGACTATACACAAAAATATTGGCGATGATATTCCATGGTTTCTTATATATTTTATATATATACGGAAATATTAGAATAAAAAGATCATAATTCCTGCATTATATTGCTGTATAATTTAGTGTACCTGTTATACAATAAAGCAATAATGTCATATATACATGGATTATTATCCACCCTTAGGCGATGAAGCCTGTTTTCCGTATTATAATTTTCTTTTTCAAGATTGTCAAACTCAAGGTTGTCAACCAACTCACTGAAAAAAAGCATTGATGTTATCAGCGATCATTACAAATGCATTGTTTATTATATTGAAATAAAACTTCACCAGTTTTTGTCAGCAAGTTGTTCATCATAGTTATCACAGTCACTGTTTTTTCTGTTGTTTTCAGTATAACTAAGAATTCAAATTAAGAAAGAAATAGAGGAATTCAGACTTAATTTGTTAAACATAGTCAATTACTGGTATTTATTACCATTTCTTAACAGGACTTGCCACAAGCTCGGGATCGGCAGTCTCTTCATCATCATAAAGCCTAGAAATATAAAATTTCTTGTATCAATTCAGGTGGGGTATACACATTAAATTGTTGATAATTACTAATTACAAAAAACTTTAATTAATAATATGCTACCTTTTCCTAGGATTACTTCCTTTGTCTTGTCCTACAAGGTTAGTTAATGGAGTACTACTGTTTTTTAGAACAGATGCATCACTGGAAATAGATAAACAAGACAGCTATTTTGCACCACTGACCATAGTTTATAAAATCAACTTTTTTATATGCTATTCAAAAAAAGAAATGCAGACTGAGAAAACAGAGTATAAGGCAAGAATAGTCTTTCTTTACAAACCAATTTGGTGATGGTTCATGAGATTGGTAGCCAGAGTCGTTTTGTTTGTTGAAATCTAATTTGAAAATGAAAAAGAGAGTACTGATAAACATTCATTTTCTATATTTAAGAAATATAAAACGGCGCGCGTGTCTCTGTCCTCTGATATAAACACGGTCGTCAGCCAATCAGAGCGCACGTTATATCAAAAATTTTATAAATTAAAAATACAGTTCTTGAGGCTTGTCTTTTATTCTTTTGCTTACAGTGTTATCATGCCGCGAAGCGGCGAGACGTTTCCGTTTGCTTTTTCGGCTCAATAACATAGTAAGCAAAAGAATAATAGACAAGCCTCTGGAACCAGGGTAAGACCCTCCTAAAAGGTATGGCCATTTTTGACGTCTTCAACAAGAGAAAAGCTCAAGTTTAAGAAACTGTAGAAAATCAATGTCGATAGATTGTTGAGGACCGTTGAGGCTAATAAAATTGATCCTAAAAGGTAAGGAGTCAGCTCAGGACCCTAAAAGGTTCGCGAGGGTTTCATTTTCGAACCTAAAAGGTCCGTCGAGCATACCTACCAACGTTTATAAGGGAGTTTCCCATGATCAACTTGATTTGTGCAAGTAAGCACTTTTTACGAATACTAGTATCCATTTTAACTTGCGTTAACTTGCACATTACAAAGTTCCGAAACGACAAATATCCAGCAAGAATATACAGTTAAACAATATTTTACTTCATTTAAGCTTTAGCTTACATGTAAAACTATATTAAGCTTAATAATTGTGGGATTTTTCTAGCACACCGATCGCTGATCTCCAATCAGAAAACTTAGTTTCAAGACGTTAAGTGTAACACCCAGTTATAAAATACATTGATCACTGTTTCTCATGACAATAAATTCCCATTTAACTGATCATCATAAAATTACGCTGTATATTGATGAGAAATTATGTTGAAAGAGCAACACAACAAGCGAGGTCGCCATCTTGATCTTGGCAAACTTCGAAATCAAATCGGTTTATCTCACTTTCGACGGTGAAATAGCATTGTATAAGTATTGCCAATCGACTTAAGGAACCTTAAAATATACTTACACAGTGAATCCATTTCCAAATCAACGCAATAACCAACTAGAATCAGCTGTTTGTTTAATTCTTGCGGGTCGCTCCTTTGTCTTCTCTCGAATGACGCTGTTTTCAGCGAACCTTCGAACAAATATCGCGCGCTTTGCCATGATTGGCTAATATTTGAAGATGAGGTTCCCGTATGAGAACATGGCTTGGTGGACTCATGCGGACTCGGGAATATTCTAACGTGTTTCTCCGGATTTTTTAATTTGATAAAATGATAATTATCTCATCAAGAAGATTTGTAATTTGTAAGCCAAGCGAGACTGATTCACTGCATTTCAAATCAAGAATTCTGATTCTAAAAAAWTCAAACCAAAAACTGCATCTAAACCGCGCATGCGTGCAAGGATGCCCTTGCAAAGTAAACTTAAAAGGGGAACCTGGGAGGGTATCACATTTAAATCTTTTAAGAATGCTGTTTCTCGATGTTGCCACATTAATGGCAGAAAATACTYATTGATATTTTCGGAATTAAGACGCTCTCGGTTTTTCTCAATGGCCAATATGTGTTYAAGAGCAAAGATTCCTAGCTCTTGCACCATTTTTGAACCAGGAAAAAGAACGTAGTGTTCTCCTTCTGCAAGAACGTCTCGTCTTTCACTATCGCCTTTGTCGGTCCCTGCTCCATTTGAATCTGCAACATAATCTCGCGCTCCCTCTCTATGGTGATCCAGTCCTTGTCTGTTTCCCTCGTCGGGGACTTGGTCATCTATATTCTTCTCATCTTCCCTCTCAGTCCTGATTTCCGAGAGCTTTTCCAGGTCTGGATGATATGTTTTACATTCTAAAGGTATCCCACTAGCAAAGGCCAAGTGTACAACAGGGATCAGGGTTCTCCAAATGTAGCTTTCTTTCTCAAAAGTCGCAAACTGCATTGGTGTATAGAGTTTYAAGAAACTGTGGATGCATGCATCAATAGCAAGCCCTTGGTCTTGAGGGATGGACATCAACGTAGCAGATCTCACTCTTGCCAGAAACARCAAACTGTAGTAGCTGAAAAGGAACTGGAACTCGTTAATTACACATACAAGGAGACTGGAAARCAGGTGAATGGAATACATGAAAAAATGGATTAATCGCAACATAGGTAGTACACTGAGGCAGGCCAAAATTACTGTTTTAGTGGGWGTCACATGGACGTACAGTGAGTGGTGGAATGGACCAGTATGGAATCCGACTCGGGGATTAATGTACGATTGTTATTATCGTTTTCGCTTACATTGTAACAAGAAACTCTGGTTCCTGCACCCATACAGCTGAATATTTCATGGTGAATTCTATAATCTTGCGATAAATYCCAGAGCGGATGACAATTCTTAGGGCTCTTTGGTCAAAAGACACATAAAATAAGATGAATGCAGCCATAGAATGCTTTCCTATGCATGACTGGKTTYCGTTAATGCAAACTGCTGAGCTATTAGTAACATCAATGGTTACATCACACAACTTTTCCATAACATCCTCCGTTTCCGCAACCTGGAGCTGGGCGTTTCGGTCGAGTTCAACAAGCCTGCAATAAGCAAAATATGTAGAATACTTTTTATAAATGATATTTGAAATCAGCGGTCTGACTCGTCCCAAGTCATCTTCCTCTTGCGCTCGCAATGCGTCGTGTGAATGACTCATTTCTCAGTGTCTTCCTCTCATAACGCATTTCGAGCGAAAGAGATATGACTGCGCATTGCACGAGTCATGCTATTTATATCGACACACACTCAATTAGAACGTTGCAATAATTCTTATTCATTGACAAAACAGGAACATACTATTTTGCGTTCTTGCAGGTATCAGCAAACTATTTACAAGATAGACTATAACCCTGCACAGTATCGTGTAATGCTGTCTCATCGCAATATGTTTTAATAAGGACTTACGAACAMAGGAAGCACAGACTCGTCAAATTCAGGTTCGTGGGAAAGTCGTTGGAAACATCCTCGTCACTTTTAAGAAACCACTTCATCGCAGGCTGTAGTCCACCAAGCTGCAAAGCAAGTTTTACCTCGTGTTTTTCCRTCAAAAAAATCGACAGAAATCCAAGAACAACTATTGCCAAGTGCCGTCTAAATCTGTTGTAAACGTTTTCATAATGAATGAGATCTAGCAGGAATTCTACACCAGTAACACCAAATAGGGAACTTTCTGCAATGGAACTTCTGGAGCTGAGCAAAAAAGGGATTGCGGATAAACAAATAATATAACAAGAATCAATTAAAGTCGTAAATTATTACGAGTCTATGATTTATAGACATTGAAAAACGGGCGATTCAAATTAGAGCTGACAACTTTGGATCGCCGAATGATCATCACTAAATTTCGACAATCATTAAGGTAACATAGTCTGAGAAGCTAGGGGTATGGGAAGCCAAAAATATCGACTAAAAATATGTTTTCGCTCCCTGCAATAATTTCATCTATTGTCTTTACAGGCTACCGCAAGGAAATCAAATTGCTGATCATCCCACGCTCTCCTTTGGTCTTTGAGTCGATGATTCAACGTATTAGAACGTTTCTTCGATAAGGTGTTCAAAATCGAAATACACGGAGCGATTCAACCAAAACACTACATCGTGGCGTTTCAAGGAGGTTTCGTGTGGACGTTACGTCTAAACGCATGAAAAAATATGCGACTGATATCCGGCTACGCGTAAACATAGGATAAACCGTTACCTAATTATTGACAATATCCAGAAAATTAAGGCAAACTAACCTCGAACCATCATCGCTAATTGATTMTGATCCTGRMTAATATTGTCGAAGTGTGAAATGAAGCATAGACATCAAATACTCCACTCCTTTCACTTGCTTGAAGTAGTTCCTGTTTGARCTAGCGGATTTCGTCTGGWATATATTGAAAAGATCATAAAAAAGACGCTCAACTTCATAAATGCYGTCTAAACCAACTGCAAGTCTCTTTAGCTCTATTTGCAATGGCTGTAGAATGTACTTTCCATCTGAAGTGCAAAGCAACGGTATCAGAGTTTCAAAGTCCTTGAATGGCTGCAATAGGAAATCAATGGAGTCTATGTCAGCTTTCACAGGGTACACCACATTCAGTGTATCTCSACAACGGAGATACAAATCCCTCAGATGTTCAGAATCATCTAACGTATGGCCAAGGTAGACTAATGTTTGATCACACGCTGGAGCTTTTATGATATTTTGTATCTTAATCTTCAAATCATAAACATCGTTTGTCGCAAGTTCGAATGGACTTAAGGCCAACTCAGCCGTTTCGTTAAGATTTTGGTTGGTAGCGCTGGCTTCGATAATCAACATCGTTTGCTCAYCACAGTCCTCCATTACAAGCATACCAAAAGTTACCGATCAAATTTTACAGTTTTTTTGGTTTGATCTAAAAATGAGCTCCTATTTCTAAGGAGAGAGAGTTGTTTCGGYCTTTCTTCCTGTTTTCTCTCTTTTCTTTGTTTTAAGGCTTAGTAACCATGCCACTTAAACGATCAATATGGCAGAAGGATGGAAATGAACAAACTGAATTTCGTGAACGAGGACGTAGTTATGTTGCAATAACCAATATTCATAATATAACAAGGATTGTGGAATTAAGGTTTAACTGGATATGCAAATACAAAATATACAAGCACCGTAAGTATAACCAAAAAAATAAAAAACAAAACCAAAAAAATGAAATATCCACAATGGCGTTGTCAGTTTTTGAATTCTCCAGTTTCGAGATCTTATTGGTACAGTCTTAATCTCGAAAGCATGTAATATATTCTTTTATTCAGCAGAGATCCTATTGTAATGCAAACCCTCATGTCTACAAAGAAGACAATAAAAAATTAAGCTTGATTGAAGCTAAGCTTGCACATAAGAGAATTCGGAAACTGGAGTATTGTTCGATCTTGTTTCCATAGACGAATAAAAGGAATAGTATAGTCTTTGGAGACAAGATTGCGAGTAGTTGTCGTCGTATAAAGTTGCGCGCATCAAACAGGCAATTTTTAATACATCCCGGCTAATTTTATGTTCAAATGATAAAAGCGATTCAGCATATCACATACAATACTGCCAGTATACGCAGTCAATTTACGTGACGCACTAACGTAAGTAACGTAGAAACTTAAAGAGTTTGACTGAGCTATACAGGTGTAATATGTTTATAGTGAGTACGAGCCTGGAGCCTTTCTAATGAGAAGAGTGCCTGAATAGTAACATCAAAACCGCAGAGGAACTTTATTTACAAGGTAAAACACTAGAAAAAAAACCTATCAACAACCATTATATCGGTCGTCATCATCGGGAATGTGAACATTTTTGTAGCCAGTAAAACTAAAACAGTCGTTAATAATATCTCTCCATCATGGCATTCTCAAATTCTACGGCATTATCCATGGTTACTGTATCCATGGTTACTGTATCCATGGTTACTGTATCTGAATCTTCTTCTGTCGGCAACACGTATTCACAACCACTTCCTTTGTTATCCTTTGTACATCTTATGTAGTCTTCAATACTCTCTGTCAAAAAGTCGAGTGGAGCACTGCCATCTTTTAAAAGATAATAATGAAAGTCCTTCAGATTGAATTTCGCGCCCAATTCTTTTCGAGCGTGCGCACGCAGTTTTATGAGATGCAGCTGACCAATAGTGTACGTGGTAGCTTGCCCTGGAGTGGTCTGATAACGAGTGATTTCCTTTTCGACAACATCGTTTTCTTCCCATATGTAATCCTTAAAGTATTTTAAAGCTTCTTGTCGGGGCATTTTCTTGAAATGYAAACCAGTATCTACAACTAAACGGAGCGCTCGCCATAGCTTGAAAGAAAAACAAAGACAAAATCAGTATCAAAATACTAAAGGATGCATCTTTTTTTATGACATGGGTGAAATAACTCGTGCACAGCTAACCTGTCCCCTGAGCATGCCATACTTTTGCAGCGGTTTGTCTTTGTAAACATCTGTATCTGATCCGATTAGTGGGTCCTCGGCGTAAAGACCCCACCCCTCGGCGAAAGCCGTGTACCAAGTGATACCATCGACCCAGCCAATCACACCACCACAGGAATCCCTGAAGTGTTCTATACTTCCTTGGACCTATTGACGTAATGAATGGATGGAAAGTTGAAGGAATGCATGGAAAAATATACCTATCAAATTATTAAAACATTTTGAGATTTATACATATAGCATTAAAATGCAATAGAAGACCCCTCAAGCCCAACGTTGTCTTATATATTCTATGAATTACTAAATTGACATTTGTKTTTTTTCTTGGAAAGCAACGAATGGGAAAATAAATGATTGGGAAAGGAATGAATTCAAGAAATTTATAACACACGATGCAAATTTTAAGACACGATGTCRTAGTCGCGCGCGAGATATCATAATTACAATACACGATCAAGCTCTCGCATTATGGCTATGATATCTCGCAGTTGCGTGCGAGAAATCACATCGTGTAAATCGATCTTCACATGATAGATGATTACCTGGGTGTGGTGTCCAGGTCTTGCTTCATGAGAATTCACGCTCAACTGCGTAAACTTCGGACCAGGTCGAGTAAGAAAGAATGGTATGAAATATGACGCAGTGTAAGCGCATGTTCTCGATGAGGGCCGGTAACTGGGCACCCCCATGTTTTGATTGAAATTGGGCTTTGGTTGTACTGGACAATTTGGTGTKGTATGCATAGGACCAACGAAGTGGAACAAATTTACAGTCTCTCCGTCAAGAGAGCTCATTATCTGTAACAAGAGGAGAAAAGAGCGTCGTTGTTTCTAGTTGTAACATTGAWCATCATATATCGCAAAATGATTGAGCGGGTTTCGTATGATTGTGGGTATGAGTGTGCGTATGATTGTAGGTATGACTGCAGGGACTGCACACATGACTGTGTGTGTGACTGAGTATGACAGCGCATGACTGTGGGTACAGACTCGCCCCACTCCCCATGATAGACAGACATACCTTGTTAACATCGTCAAACCATCTTTGAATGATTTCCCACCGAATTGGACAATGTTTCTTTGCACCTTGTACACTTTTACACCTAACAAAAGCTGTTCCATTCGATTCGATTTCAGGGATATCCTTACTGTTTGCATAGTACATGCTTGATGCATTTAGTTTCTGTTTGAACGCATCTGTAGCTGTATCATTATTTGTCTTGTTGGTATRTTCTCTGGCCAGTTCAAGAATCTATTCACAACGAGAATTAAAGAACCCTTTAAAAACTACTGCTCTCCTTTGAAGGCGATACACGTCGCAGCCAAAAGACTGCATTGGGCGTTGTGTATGTCTCACTCAAATTCTACTTCGTACGCAAAACAGCCCGTCCCCTCACCTGTGAGTAGAGTTTTGCTACCATTTCATGACCCAACCTATTCACTTCGTCTGGCGATATGCTCGTCGTGGTGTAGAAGGGCAAAATATGTGTCTGATAGGCCCGCGAGCCATTCAGCGGAGTTCCATCAGGCAGGAAAGGGTAGGTTTTCTCGGCTGTCTTTGTCTTGTTTAGGTAAATGTGTGATATGGGAAGAGTTGCCAGTCCRCTGGACACATCACTCGGGACGCAATGGTAAAGATATGTAGTCTTTAGATACCTTTAAAAAAGGATTCATAAAATGAAATAAAAAATCTCTTTATTGACAGGAGTTGAAGTATCACATTATGAATATTAGAATATTGAAAAACTCCATTTCTAGAACTGTTTGAAGTATAATGCTACATCAAATGGCCATATAAGGAGAGAGATACTCACGTGACAAGTTCGTAAAGTGGTTTCCCGACATACTTTAGGACGTGGTTATATATCGAGTCATTGACCGACTTTCCTGACTTGTCAACCCACTTTTGTTGGWTTTCAGGGCTGATACCAGCAGTAATCGCGATGACCTTGCCGATGAAACCTTGCGCTATATCTGACGAGCAAAAAAAAAAGGTTTTCAAGTTACATTCAAAAAACTTTTACTCAAGTACAAAACTTAGCCCTTGCTTTTATCGGACTTCCTGTTTCTATAACTGATTCCCGTGATCTGAGATGATCAACATTACGCTCAGTGCCATATTGTCTTCTAGGTTCGTGCGGTGAACCGCGTCTAAGTTTAGATCCTGAAAAGAATCCACAAAGCCGCAGAACGCCTTTGTTGTTTGTTCTTTCATCGTCAAGCTGTCGTCTTTCAACTGATTCAGGAGTTTGAAATAAGAAGATTATGAGATTTGTGTTTTAATTCGTATTTGAGATGCTTTCCGTTGGCTAAAATAATAAATACATCTATCATTTGGTAAAATGGAGGGAAATATAAAGAGCAAATACATTTTCTTGCGCAAGGGAGCAAGGATATTATAAGTGGCGGGAAACAGACGCGCGCGTCGAATATGGAGGCAAGCGAATTAAAGTGTGAAAATTGACAAAACATTTGTGATATCATGTAAATTGATTGTATTCTACACCTTTTGCCGTTCATTAAATTTACCGCACTGGGATAGAAATTGCATTAGTGTCATTAGCGTGAAGAGGCATTCGATAATGCGAACAAATACTTAAGAGCAATGGCCGAACTATAATTATAGTGATATCATAAAACTGTGTTACTGAAGTAACAAAAACCCTAATCCTATAAAAGACTTGATTTCTTTTATTAGGGTCGTTACACTAACTAACCCGTCTCGTGAAATAGTAGACTACYGTTAGCAGCAGACATATTTTGATTCGTTTTTCTTTTATTTTTTTCCTTGGAGTAATGACCCGAGTAAAATATGACGACTATTAGAACCTACCATACATTGGCAATTGTTTCAAAGTCCAATCAAAACGTCTCTATTGAGTGATTGTTCGCTTTATTGCGCTTGAATAAATGTTTTAGTCTGGTTCTCTGAATAACAAAGCAGTCTGCACAAACGTTTAAAAAAATCCTTTTTCTTTTGCTGTCTATTTAGCACTATTAAAATCAAAGAATTATTAATTTCCATTTCATACGTAATCCACTAATGTAGCAGAAACAGAATGCACACAAAATGAATTGAATGACGAAGAGAGAGAATCGCGTGATAAACKTTGAATTGAGCTATTAAGCAGCAGAGGCATGCGTTGATAGTAAACATGGCAGGTCACCGTGTTTGGTTAAGGAGGAACCTAATGATATGTGCTATCAACAGACAAGTAATTATACACAAATGAATTATGATATATTTTCCAACGTCTGCGAAAACAAACGCCTCCATTTCTTGTTTGCCCYTATTGATAATAAAAGAAAATAAAAGCTAGTGAAACATTCCGATGCTTACAATACAACCGCGTGCTGTACGAACTGATCAACAAAGTCATGCCTAAAGCCGAAATTTGAGCAAAGTCCGTTTGATGCATGGTAGTCTGAACTGAATGAGAAAAGGGTGAARTTTGCTACATACCGATCGGTTGTTCGTCTTTGTATCCCAGCCTTGCAAGTAAACTATCGACGCCGACTTGACAGGGCTGTGTGGACCTTACCATACCAGCGCCGACACCGTAAATCAAATTAGCTTTGTATTGGGTAAACGTATGATTCACAAGCTCAATTTTCTTTAATAAATTGTCAACATCTTCAACAGTAAAAAGTTTAAATTGATTGATCGTGTTGATAATATTTGGCATTACGTAACAAAATGGTTCCCYACAGAACATACTCGGCCCAAGGAGAAAGTCTCCTGAGTAATAGTTTACAGCGGTRGGGGAACCAAACGTCGACTTCAGGAAATGAAACATCTGYGCRAGACCCTTTCTCTCGCGTGGCTTCAGATTATGTTTATCAATCGTCTTTCCTTGAAGTTCTCGAAGCAGCTCAACGGATTTTTCCGTGATTCGCTTCAGTCTCTCAGGCGATGGGTYGTATGGCACGTAATGATCGCGAATTTGTTTAGCTGTAGYTCCAGGTTTGCTACTTATGTACTCTGGGTGAACCTCAAAGTAAGCATCTTGTACCTTTTGGAAAAATTCTGCAAGACCAACTCGTTCCGCCTCGTGCGAGTACGCGCACTTCATCTTCTTCGAAGGTCTCTTGTCATCACAACCAATGGGTTTCTTGATCAATACAATTCCAGCTATAAGACACGCAATGCCGGCAACTGCTATTACACAGCATAGAATGATAACACCTTTTCCCTTCCACATCTTGATGTTGCAAGGTCTGTGTATGTCAAGACCACACGGAGAAAGAAAGTGTCTCCTGGCAACAAACTACTTGTTGAGCTAATTAAACAATTCGTCATTCAAATGYTGACAGACATTAATAGGGTAACAACCCACAAACGAGTCACCCCCAAGCAAAGAAAAAAAAAGTACCGGTATCGTTGCGGGGTTATGGCTCTGCTTACATGAGGTGATGCCTCAAGGTAGCATACCCAAACTCTTTTGTATTCCTTTTTACCGAGAAAGGTTTAAAACAAAAGAGTTTGTCATGGAAGGTCATATTTACTAGTGCGTGAGATCCTGATGCTCATTTGGACCTAACGTAGAGTGCAAGTCACATAAGCATGAAACAATTCTTAACTATGTAGTGCTATATAAGATTTAGTTATCAACTAACTAAGAATTGAGAACAATGCTACAAAGGAATTTAAATAATTGGCATTGTGTTTATGCTTTTGTTGAATTCTTAGTTAGTTGATAACTAAATCTTATTTAGCAATACATATTAAGAATTGTTTCATGCTTATGTGACGTGCACTCTAATATACAATAAGAGCAGCAATCCGTATGAGGTTTGAAACATTGAACCGCTTAGCGGCGAGCTGGGAGAGCCTTTTCAAACCTGAAGTAAGAATGGCTAAACATGGCGGATGTTGCATAAAAAATCAATACGAAATAAATTAAGTCGTACACGACAAAGCGGCCTTGTTGGTTTTTACAGACTCAGATATATGATATTGAGATTCTTTAAAACCACTGATGAGATAAGTGTACAGTAAACAAAGTCAATGACGAACTCCGTTCAAGTGATAATTTGCGGCATTGCCTAAAGGCGCACAAACGACAAGCTCAGACAAGCTGCTCAATTTTGCAAGAGTATTGGAATCTGATGTACTAAAAGTTTTCATAGGTCAAAACGGCTTAAAGGCTCAGAGGTGCTTAGATTACGTGGAGATTAAAAGGAGGAAGAAAAACTGAGATGACAGGGAAGAATGCTTTTCAGTGCCAGCCAGGAGTAAYCCCTGTGACGTTTAAGAAAGTCTTTTTGTTGATTTACGACAATAAAAAGCCAATCGAAACATATGACGCGCAGTGAGATGCACCATGTGATTGACGAGAGCTGAGCCATGTTCGGTTGTRCTCTTTAGGCAAAAAAGCGTTAATTACTCTTGTGTGCAGGCAACTTATCCACTGTTTTTCTAATGCATTATCGATCACGTTATTTTTGAAAACAAACTTCGTTTTCCACGTGGTTCTGTAACCTACCGCCATCTTTGATACTTTTAAGTATATCAATACCACGATGCATTGCGCGAAAGGKAGGTAAGCGAATAACTGCTGTTTTGGCCACAACACAGATTCTCTTTTTCATAACTGATCATCGTCCCATGTCAGGTAATTATAAACTGGCAAATCTATTTTTGGTTGTCTCATCACATCTCATAGTGGGAAAGAAATTGTGAATGAAAAGGTTTTTGACTGTTTGTAAAACAACACAGCGTTGGCATCAACACTCGTCCTGCAGATAGCACTCTATTAGCGACCACCCCGTTAATACGAACAGCTTCGATATCCGGAGGGACAAACCGCTGTACAAATTCATGCATGAATTCCGGACACCACATACGTCGGTATTATGAGCAGGAAATAAAAATCGGCGGACTGTGAACAAAAACTGAAAGATGAAATACTYAACACGCTTTAGTGGGTGAAATATTATGTAATTTTAAGAAAGGAGGCCGAGTGAAACTGAATTTATACGAGCATCACTTTTCAGTAATATTGGCTTTGTAAAATTGGACGTACGATTACAGCAAGATGTAACGATCGGGAAACGACATATTATAGACGAACGCGTTATGCAATGAAATGCAAGGAAAGAATTTTTAAAACCACCTCTATTCTCACAAAAAAATTGACGAAACAAAAGTAGTTAAGTGTCGAAACTAAACCAAGGAAAGAAAGCTATTAATCGAAAAGGCCAGCATTAAAWATATAAGCATCAATGCTCACCGTAATTTTGTGAATGTATAAAAAATGGCAGCACTTGTATCTAATTAAGAAACTCGGTGCCTCCATATTATTTTGAGGRCACCAAATTTTCAATCAGGAACATTCCCTAATTATCAGTCATGTTATCAAGGGACATTATGAATAGGTTGTCATAGCAAGCGCACGACCTAAAGAGTACAACTTTATATAACTTCACCAACAGCACCTGCCGGSTCTCTCGAATACGACATGAAAACGACAACAAAGATCTCATCTTAACATTGATACTAAAATCACATAAAGACAAGGTAAAGGCAAGACAAAAGTGAAAAATTCGCTTTAAGGTGAGCTGAAGCATTGCAATAGATCCATAAGGATAATCCGGCAAGTCATTTGAACACTAATATTTCTCACATTTTCAGAGAAAATAATTGAATCCTTGGCGTAAACTGTGAACCGAGTTGAAATCTATGTTTCATGATGTGACGAAAAAATCTTGACTTTTAMAGCTATGAAAACAAATCAATTTTGACGTAGGAAATAATAATACTTTTCCCATGAGAAACAATTGCATACAAAGTTGTTTTTTGAGCAACTWWAGTYACTTTAGTAAAAAAAGAGCCATTGTCGAAATAGAGTTGATTTTATACCAATTACTAACGTTTCAGGTTTTCACTTCCCAATAATTAAAGTAATTCCTCGGAAATTCAAGTGCTGACCAGATATTTCTACTCGCCTYCAGTTMAAAATCGTTGCCATAGACACAAAGAAAAACAMCAAAATTAGCATCAAATGAAAATAAATAATTTTTAAAACTCAAAGACGAATTTAATTTAGGGAATAGAAAATGATCAAAAAATAATGACTCTGTTTGACTTCCCTGAAATTCAGATTAAAAATCTGATATAAGACACGTATTTCTATGTTTGAGTTATTGAGATATCAGATGGTTTGTAGACTAAGCCAATCTCATTAGTTTTATACATAATATTAAGTGCAAATGGGACGTCAACCTGTGAAGGTACCATCTCATGTTGRCCTGAGATTGCTTAAACATGTAATTAGCCTTTTTAGACTAAGAGTAAAACCAAAAGATTATGAAAAAAGACCTCTAAGATTAATTCTGCGATGGAAACTGACATAATGCATAAAGAGAGAACAGACGAGAAATAGGATAAGAACGTAATAATGAAAGAAAATAAAATAATCAGAATAGAATAAAAAATGAGAGCAAAAAGGATGCAAAAAAAAGTAAAGAAGAAAACAAAAGCCAAAGAAAACTAAAAGAAAGGAAACAATTAACGGCAAAATATATGATAAAAAAGACTTAATACATTTAAAACACAAAGTCAAAATGACATGTAAATAGCTGAAAAACTGCATGTGACTTTGATGAAGACGAGTTTTTAGTTTTCTATGAAAGAATAATTATGCCGAATGATATGCCAAGATTCACAGACACTTTGTCATCTTTCATGAAAGTAATCTTGTCTTTTGAGGTTTTGCGYATATGCAAAGCTGAAAAAATACAAAAAAGGAAAATAGAAAATGGGGGAAAATGGGAAAAGAAGAAAGCTGAGTACCAGTTAGTCAACAAAAAACTYACTTTAATATTGAAGGCAATATCCACATTCAAACAATCAAGATGATTTGATAAAAAGCCAGATTTATTGACAATTTTTGAAGAGCAGCCATTGATCACGACTGAATCAAATCCTGTCGTATATCGAAGTAAAAGTGAGTTCTTAAAATGATGTCGATAAATAACAAGAGTGTAGGTAATGATGACAATGACTAAAGAGTGATAGCCATCAAAACCAATATAGCCATTTTTTTAAATTGTGAGAAAAAACAGTTGCAGTTTATCTGTGTTTGTTATTTTTATTACGAAAGATAGTGTTTAGTGTTTTAGCCAACGATAATTACTGCAAAAGACAGTGAGTTTTTAGCAGTAAAAATTGTAGCGGTTATCAATATTGTTTGTTAATCATATTATATTATCATCATCATCAAATATAGCTTTATTCAGTTAATTTTCTAGTTCATCTCTCTGTTAATAAAAAATGCTGCTCGTAAACAACTAAAGTCAGTGAGTTAATACAGTACTCGATTCTCAAATACATATATCATTTTGAACATTTAAAAGTTATCGCCAATGCTTATTTGTTTTCTTTATTTAACGGGCTACGAGTCGCATGTTCTGCTTCCATGCAGTATCCGACTAGCCACTAGTCAAGGACTTGAATAACAAATGTGTTTTTCCTAGTTTGAAACCGGAATTACAACCTAAGATTCCAAAGAACACTTTGAAACTGAAACCAATAATAAAAATATACCGTTATTGTTTTGCTAGGTAAACGATTTTATAGTCTTATCATATCGCCAGAAAAGTATATCCAATAATAGCAACCGAACGTTATATATAAACAATGATGATTATCTTAGCTTCATATCTTATATTTCAAAACATTTTTACATTTGGACGATTCAAGAGGRTAGCTTGAGAGACGTTATTTTTCAGACAAACCGGAAAGGAATCTAGACAAAACTGAAAAAAAATGTCTACTTTCRAATTTTATTTCGTGAATAACATTTATTTTATTATTCTTTGTTTTGTTCATTTTTCWAAATATAATTTACCTTGTGACACAAAGAAGTAAACAAAATATTAATAAAAACATTTTACTGACGAAAGAAATAATTTCAACGACAACAAAAAAGCTYACTTTTTAAATTTCAAAATATCTTTTTCATTGTTTTCTTCAAATGTTTGTTCAAGCGTATTCCAATTGCGAACGAAAAATCGCGACCCATATGAACAAACGTAAAAAATTTGGTTAACAAAAGAGAACTATCGCAAACAGAGATATTTTCTTATTACATCAGTACTTTTATTTTGCCGATGAAAGACATATGCAAAAAAGAAAAAAACAAACAAAAAATAAGAAAAAAAACGACAACAAACACCCTAAAATTGAGATTTATCAAGGCCAGTACTGGACGTGTCTTTTTCGGCAATATTTCCAAGTTAAACAACAAGTTTGGGTAGGAAAAAACCAACACATTTTTATTTGAAATCATTAATTTGCAAGTTTTGGCTGCAGATGTCGCTAAATCAACACTGTGCTATTTTCTCTTCTTCACCGCACATCGTTTTGTTGCTATAGCAACTGCYCAGCGCCAGTCAGGTGGAACTGTCTCAATGTGCTCTCAGGGTGAATTATACTCAGTTATATGATCGCTAGGTCGAGTTTTAAGGTTAACGTCCGTCGTCACGCCGTCGTCATACTTTTTGGCTGGTGTTTAGAAGTGAATTCGTGGTCGTGTAGACTGCCATCGTTGTGAATAACGGCTCGTGAGGAATTGTGGTCGATTATCCATGAAAATTGGTAATGATTACGATTAACACAGAGACGARCTTTTATAATCAGGTCGTATTTTTCCGTCTTCTCTAGATCTACCAAGTCTGAAGCTATAAACTAATCAATGGAACTTGTAGCGATTGCAGTGGATATCGCAAGAGAACACTCTTAAATTAAAATATAGAAGATGACATTATACTACAAGATATACTTTTTATTAAGTTAATACTTCGTTCATTGCCAGCCAGAAAAAAAAAATGGCCTCGATTGGATACCGTACGAACTACACCTACGGTTATATTGTGGAGTATTCAAAACCTTGCTTTGATAGCTGGCTGCTGATTCCCGGTGAAAATCTMTGGAACTCTGGTTTGCGTGGTTTTCTATATATTTTGGCTATGTTTTATTTCTTCCTTGGTATTGCTATAGTTGCTGACATATTTATGAGTTGCATCGAGGTTATAACAAGCAAGAAACGAAAAGTCACGCGCTATGATCCTGAAAAACAAGAAAGTGTAGAAATCGAGGTGTTTGTTTGGAATGAAACGGTGGCTAACTTGACGCTAATGGCACTAGGATCATCGGCGCCCGAAATACTATTAGCTGTCATAGAAACGGCACAAGAACTTGGACGGGACCCTACAGGGGACGATAAAGACGGACTTGGAACTTTCACTATCATAGGTTCAGCATCTTTTAATATGTTACTTATAACAGCTGTGTGTGTTATAAGTGTGCCGTCAGGAACGGTGAAAATGGTTCGTGAATTTGGTGTGTTTATTTGGACCGCGATATGGTCGTTGTTCGCGTATGTATGGCTTCTAGTTACACTAAAATGGGTTTCACCAGGAGAAGTCGAAATCTGGGAAGCTTTTGTGACCCTTGCGTTCTTTCCTTTACTTGTGTTTACATCATGGTGTCAAGACCATGGATGGTGGTGTCGGAGCAGTAGAGTCCTAAGTGTTGAGCCCCCTGAGGTTTGTATATAACACCATATTGTGTTCGCTTATAARTATACCACAATTGTTCTGTTTTATCGTACATTACCATAACTCAACTGTTATTCTAATCTTTCCTGCAAAAAAATAGTCATTACTTACTTTATTAACCATCATTTGAAGATCAAAATCACCTTCGATCTGATCTGTTTAAAGCTGATAATCAGTTTATTCAACATTGTAGGAAATCCACTTAGGATAGAATATTCTTAATGCTTGCCTAAACAGATAACATAGTACTTGTGATAAAGGTCAGAAAAAAATAGTTGTCAGGCTTTGAATTACGACAAGCATGAGCATATATGTCCTGACTCCTTCTTTTTGCTCGTAAAATAATTGAACTCTGGAATCGTTAGGTAAYRTGGTTTTATTAGCGCTCTTGTCTGATGTGGGGGCACAATTCATGRAGCATCGAACACTTCGCACCTAATTTACAACCTCAGAATAAAGTTAGATTTATGTCTAATAATAACATTAATTCCAAAGTTGCGTGTTTATATATAGAAAAAAWGTGATTTTATTGCAAAGTTTCGCWGCCCTAGGGGTGCTTTCAAAAATGTCATGTCTTTAAAATTTCATTTCATCATGTGGTGTAGAGATGAATCGACKCCATGGAAACGTCATTTTTACATCTTAGAATAAATGGAGCTTTTCATTAATTATTGATCTTAACATACGTAGAGCCACAAAAAGTCTTAGAATTATTAATAGAACGGTCGAAAATAATTAAGCATTACGCAACAGCAAATTACTGCTGCAAAATGATTAACCAAATCTTTTACAAGCAACTGATATCTATGGTAAAAAAGGGTTTGTTTACTCAGATTAGTGGATAAAATCTATAATCTTTTAAAATTGACGGTTTCGTTTTCTTAGGATGACTAACCGTGTAGTTGCCATGGTTACTATAGTTGTATATGCAATTACTCGCATCATTTTAATCTTATAAAAGCAATATTGTCTTCGTGTGCATTTCACGGGATCTCTAGTTAAGTAGTTGGCATCATAGTTAATGGGATCACAAGGTGTAACTAACAGGTCTTCCAATGTAAAGGAAAGCCGGCATTATAATACAACTAAGTCACGTGACGAAAAAGCCGTGGAAATGAGAAGTACAGACTAACTGAAAGTTGTCTCGAATTCTTCCTGTCATTTTTGTTTGTTAAAGCAAACGAGTTTTGTATTAAAATTGCAAGGAAAAAGCAGATGTTCAGGAAACCATTTCAATGTCAGTGGTTACGTTTTAAAGAAAACCATTTTAATCATACTTAAAAAAGCCATAGGAAAGTCAACAAAATATTGTTATTCAACAGAGAAAACCTTTTCTTAAAAACCATTCTAGTGTCAAGAGGAAGTTGAGGAAACTAGACAAAACGCTAAAAGCATTTACGATAGTTTTTAGAAAGCCAATTTAATGTCCGTRAAAAATATCAGGAAAGCCAACAAAATGCCCTTATTAAAAGCCATTTCAATGCTGACTTACGGCACTAAGTGAGTTAATGAGAAAAGCGACGGTGACCATTAAAAAGTTGTCATTATGGATCAAGAGCAGGAAGGAATGAAATTGCTTTTGTTATTCGAACCATTTGAAGGTTTTGCATACGGCTTACTCAGGAAGTAAATCACTCGATAACGAAAAGTACTGCATCAAACACCACTACAATACACGATTCAACAACTTCCTAAGCATTTTCAAAATTACTGGCTTCTTGAATAAGAAGAATGACAAGAAATTCAGAGATAATTTAGTTTGATTGGTAATGGGTCCAAGAGTTGTGCTCTTCTACATTTTTGAATAGTTCCGGACTTTTATATAAACAATACAGTTTACAAGCACTAAGGAAAAAATCAACATATCACACTGTCGCAAGGCTAAATTTTGTTGTGCGATGTTTGTTTACCATTACGTAAACTTCCGCGAAACAGTGCGAGTTGTTTGTTTCGTTACGCAAAGCGTACCGCTAATTGACGGAATCCGCAAAGTTCTGTATAACCTGTATAACACGAGTTGTTTTGATGCGTTATTTAAGCGCGCGTCCCGTCAAAATACGTTCCGTAACGTGTCATCGCGTCACGCATTCTATTTTCATAAACATGATCAAGCGCAGCAACAATTCTTGTCGTATTTCGCATTTTAGAGTCTCATGACTCTGGACATTGTCCAATGTCAAGGTTCAAAGTGCATGAGATGCGTTTATGCCAGGAAAAGTGAGACGCAAAAGGTGCTAATTTTAWYAATGGAAAGAAAAATAACAATTGAACTTTTTCTCTCTTTGCTAATTTTTTTTTGATGTTGAACGAGATAATTAGCATCAGCACACGTCTTGACGTCGCTCCCATAAAAAACGAAACCGCAATGAACATTCAAACTTATACTTATGTGTACGTAAGGTATTATTTATGTTTACGCAGTGTATTTCTTACGTTAACGCACGTTTTTACTTACGTATACGTTTGGCACAGGTACGTGTGGTTGGCATGATGGAACGTCCTTCAAGTCACATGATGGTGCATCGATCAATGGAACTAAGAGTGATTGAACAACACAGAATAAGCGTTAGGTATGAAAACAGTAATTTTGATCTAGTTAAARATGTTTTCTAAAAATATAAGTATAGTATGATATAGAAATGCATGATGGGAAAAATTCAAATGAGAAAACAAATATAATAGCCGCCATCTTGAATTAAAGGGAAATTATGGGATGTCCAAGAAACAAGATTCTAAAATTCTCTTTAACTAAAATTCTCTTTATACAGTGAGCATGACATAAAAGAACTACCAAAAAGCAAGGACAAACTAAAGTAAGAAACCCTTAACATTGAATTTCCATCCCCTTTCTTATTCATCCATCCACATTTCATTCATCCATTCATTCAATCGCTCTATTTTCTTCTACAGAGAAGTAGTTTCGCTATGGAAGGGTCAAAAGCCCGACGCGAACTCGAATGAGACAGTTGAAAGCTTAGCACATGCATTTAAACACTTCAAAGAAGCAAATGCTCAACCACAAAACTCGACTACGGCTCGATTAAGGTAAGTCAGCTAAAACATAAAGGAAAAAAACTACTCAAAAAAACTGTTTAACGATTGTTGTACGCAACGAAAAATACTTGACTACCACAAATAAATCATAATAGCAGCAAAAAATGATGATAATGATCACGATGACGTATTGTTTGGAATTTATCCATTTTAGATTCCGGCATGCGGCGCTGAACAGTCTTACAGCAAGTAGACATCGAGTTCCCAAAGCTTCAAAATTTGTCGACAGATTGGATTATGACGAAGGTCAAAAAATCATGAATGCTTTGGCAAAATCCGTTGTCGGTTCAAAATTCATTGGAACTCATGCACTCGGTAAGTTTTTTTACCTTTATTTTAGTACAATTCCCATTAGTTCAGTCATTTATCCCTTCCATTTATCTATTCATTTATCATCTGAATATCGTTTTGTTGTTAAGTATGCGTGTCTGTGTGCATCCTTATTCAATGTTTTTTAAATTAAATTATAACTAAATTATATTATATCTTCAGACCAACCAGGACAAAATTTCAATTTCGGAACCCAGTCTTATTCGGTTGTCAAAAGTGCCAAACATATCGACATTGACATACTGCTTACAAATTCAAGAAAAAGGTTAGTATTCACGCGTAAACGTAACAGTACGTTACGTAACGCGTCGTGTAAAATTTGCTATACCAGGTTGCTTTAACATAGATCTTTATTTTTCGATCAGGATGTCTAGAGCTGGTACGCCACATCGTTTAATGAGCCTTCCAGCTCCCTACGATCCTTGCACACAAATCGATGAATCAAAAACAGCCAAATTAAACCAACAAAACGGGAACGTGGTAAGTTTATCACGTGGTCGACTTTCTACTACTCATTTGTGATTGGCTAATTCATGATATACCACGTGCTTGTATTAAGTCATGTGATTGGTTTATTGTGAGAATTTTTGCCTTGTATCACGTCATGTTTAGACATTCCATCACGTGACCTCACGTCATCATCATTATTGCTTTTATTCTGAATTTCTTTCTCATTTTGTTTCACACTAATTAATGAATTAACGTCATATCAGAAAACTGCAAATGGCAAGGTCAAGCATAGCGACAAAGAGGAACTATATACTCGACGGAGTTCTCCCTCGAGCAGCGAACAAAGCATTCCCATGTCCGTCAGTCACCGTACAAGCCTGGTCTCTCTACCCGAGGAAACTGTCTACAGCATCGACTACGAGACGAGAGATGGCACTGCTAAAAAAGGCAGAGACTACACTAACATGAAAGGAACTATGGTAAGGGTTACTATGGAGATTGTGCTGCCATGGAAACGTTATCACTATGGAAACAATGATAATAATGATATCATGATAAGATTTGCCTGTGTTTCTAATAAAAGAGTCAAAAAGATGAAGCAATTACGAGATGAAGATGTGATACAACAAAAACAATTTTGTACAATTACAAATGTAATAARAATGTGATTTTCATTTTCCAGACCTTTCAGCCAGGAACAACAAAACATATTTTAAGAATTCCTATCATTATGCATGACGAGTTCTCCAAAAACAGAGAGTTTTACGTCATTCTTAAGAATCCAAYGCCTGGAAATGGTGTTGACTTGGGTGAAAGCAGCCTTACCAGAGTTACTATAATCGACGATGATGGTGAGTCGAACTTTACCGTATAAAGTGAAGAGTTTTTGCTCAAATGAACTCAGTGTCTACTTAAAATTCGGTCATGTTCAACGGTAATTGCGTTTAGATGTTCAACTCATTAAGTTAATGCTCTTGTGTTGCAGAACCTGGTGAATTCGCCTTTGAGCAGGCTAGTTACCATGCCAACTTCGTGACGGAAGACGTGACGTGTACAGTAGTGAGAAGAAAAGGCTGTGATGGTCACGTGACAATCCAATACCGAACACTGTGAGTTGATRATATTACTTGTTGACATTAAAAACGCGAATATGATTTAGAGATGATGATGATGATGATGATGATGATGATGAAAAGGCCAAAGATAAGATCTTTCAATGAGGATCTCCTTATGAAATATCATGATCATCATAGTCATAATGATTATGAAGATGACAACGGCAATGACGAAGAATTACAATCACTGGAAAAAATCGCGCGCTTTAAAGGTTGTAAAGTTGATGTAAATATGATGTAAGTGTCCAAAATTCTGTAAATTTGATCTAAATGATTTCCATTAAATCAGTTTGCAGAATTTTGGATACTTACATCATATTTACATCAAATTTACAACCTTTAAAGCGCGCAATTTTTTTCCAGTGAATGCTTTCAATATTTCCACTGCTAYCACCATCTAATAATCAAACGCTGTTACACAGGAACGGTACAGCGGTKGGCGGTAAGCCAGATGACAGTGACGTAGATACATGGGACTTTGAACAAGTGGACGATGGATGTCTCACGTTTCAACATGGTGAAACATCAAAGATGCTTGTAATTAGAATCAATCCTGAATCTCAGGTAAGGTTATTACTTGTATGTTTTATGTTTACTTGATTATAATGGAGTGGTCTACTTGGCAGCCATTCTTCTTTTCCCTACTGCAAACATGCACAATCTGTAATTGCTAGTTCCTTTTCCTTCCAGAAAAAGAATTTCATTGTCTTGCTACATGACCCGAGTCCAGGAGCATCATTAGGAGACAAAACCGCAGCAGTTATTCATATTTCAAATGGTAAGAAAGAAACATCATTCTCCTCTCATCTGTTTCTCTYTCATTATTTCATTATTTATTTTACTTTTCACTTTTCACTTTCCCATGTATTTGTCCTTTTATTCCACTCTTTCCTTTCACTAATGTTTGTTTTTCATTCAGATGTTGACGATATTGTCGATAGAGTTGCAAATATTATAACATTAGAAGATCAGAATCAAAGTTTAAGCAAATCTTGGCGAATGCAGTTCGAGGAGTAAGTATAGATTTGAAAAGAAGTTCTTCATGTTCTCAAAGTTAGTGTCAATAAACCATTCATTCATTTAGAAATTAATGCATCACCAATTCAATAATTCATCGTTTTGTTTTCAGAGCAATCGTACTTCAAGGGGAAGAAGACGAAGACGGTAACGTCCAGCCGCTGTCAGCATTGGATTTAACTCTACACCTACTGACGATGTTTTGGAAAGTTCTCTTTGCTTTCATTCCACCCAGGTAAACTTTGTCATTACGGACACTTTATAAATTCCTCTCCAAATTCACTCTCTTTTCAGCGCACATTCGCTATTGCGGATTAGGTTCCTGAAGATGTCCGTTGTAACGAGAGTATTAATTAAATTAGAGAACAAATATCTTACTTTGTGATTTCTGTAGGCCATTTCTTGGAGGTTGGGCAGCATTCGTAGTATCATTGATGTTTATTGCTGGACTTACAGCTGTAGTAGAACAGGTAGATAATAATACTGTCAAAAGTGAACCAAAGAATTCCTGTACTTTTCATTTATCTCAGTTATCCATTCATTTAATTCTCATCAATTCACTAGAGAGGAGATCAGTTTTTAMAATTTTCCAATGCACAATATTCCAGACACTGGTTCAGTGACCATAAACAAACCATTGGAGAGAGGYGTCAAGGTACAGTGAACATGAAAGAAAAGGTCTGCGCTSAGTGTACCTTGACGCCTCGGTTCAATGCTTTGTTCGCGGTCAATGAACCTGAATCGTGAATTCGTCTAATTCACCTCCCTCCCCTAGCAAATTTCTTAGTATACTCACCTTAATTTCAGCTTGGCAAGCTGCTGGGATGTGTAGTTGGTCTAAAAAACAGTGTAACTGGAATAACCATTATTGCCATTGGAACAAGTCTTCCTGATACCTTTGCTAGTAAAACAGCAGCTTTACAAGACACTGGGGCAGATGCTGCCATTGGAAACATTACAGGTGAGATAACAAAACATGGGCTTCCTGTGGAAGACCTAAAATTCCACTTGTACCCATCATGCATGTATTTGTACATGTATCATATCTATTCCAGGTATTTACCTTCTTTTCATTATTTTCCAGGAAGTAATAGTGTGAATGTATTTCTTGGTCTTGGTTTGCCATGGGTAATAAGTGTTTGTTATCATGCTGCCAAAGGAACAACGTTTAAAGTTTCAACAAACAATCTATCTTTCTCTGTATTGGTTTACACATTGTGTGGTGGTGCGTGCATCATATTGCTTGTATTAAGAAGAGTGGTAAGTGTCCAGTTGAAATATTTTTAGTTTCTACAAAATCAAGTGATGATCTACTTACCTAGGTCTTCCATGCCCACTCCTACCATAACCCTCCCCCCCTGTGGGGAAATTTCCTCCCCAAATTTTCCCAGCAGGGGGRTGGGGTGGGAATAGACATACAGGCTAACCACAACATTTCCCAGTTCTCTCTAAATGTTGATCTTTTTACCTTTTCAGTTTTTAAAAGGAGAACTTGGTGGTACTCCAGTACAAAAGTGGTTAACTGGACTATTTCTGGTCTTCCTGTGGTTTTTGTACRTCGTGCTATCAAGTCTAATGGCTTATGGATATATTCCAAACACAATTTAATGTTTTAAGAGAAAAACTAAGAAACGTCTTTGAGATTTGCTATTTATATTATTTATAAATGACTAATGCCATGGTAACAGCGTGAATTGTAAATATTTTGAATATTTATGTGTACATATGAGAAATTTTATTTATAACAGAGTGATGTTTGATACATTAATATAAAATAATGTTTGTGAATAAACTTAAGGATGTCAAGGACATAATAAATTGTTTAATTGAATTTGCAGTTGCCTCATGGAAAGATTTTAACTTTTAACTCCCAAAAAATTCACCAGTCATGTGACAAACAAGGACGACTCAAAAAAAAAAAATTGTGGGGGGAGGGGGGAGGGAAGGGGGGAGGGGCAGGCCATTAATTTTTACATAGAATTGTTATTTTTTCATGTAGCCATTAAATAGATAACCTGACTATTCACTTTTTATCTTCAAACTGCCCTCCAATGAGAAAGAAAAGAAAACTTTTCATTTGACATAAAAGTGTAAATCATGAAAACAAAGCTGTTCATGGTACAGAAATTYTTTATTAATTTTGTAATAAATTATTAGAGTAATACTATTTGGATATAAGATATAATTATGACAGACAAGTACAAAACTTTTGATATGTACAAATGTATATACTGTAGTAGGTACCAACTAGCTTGTTGTACATTTACATTTGGTTTAAGGTTTTGGAGTTCCTAATACCTCTTAAGCGTACCTCTTAACATTGCTAAATGGCTGATTCACTGTGAAAAAAGCATAAGTATGAAGCTTTGTCAAGTAAAAACATTTTTTTGACACCTAGTCATGAATTTTCTTTGTTAAATCTTTACTCCAAGAAAAAAAATACTATTTCCGTGGAAGTGAGGAGCAAACAAATTTCTTTGTTCTTKATGTTTTTGTGGAGGACAAAATGAAAATGTCTCCTTTTTCTGCATGTATTGATTTTCAACTTGTCTGTTGAAAGCTGAGTGAGAGCCAGCACGTCATAAGCTTTTAATTCAAGTGGGAACACTTCCTTGTATTTTTTCTCACAGTATGAATAAACCCTTAGGGAGCGCACATTGTATGAGGCTGTTTATAATACGAAATAGGGTTCTCCTAGATACTACAGCTAAATGATTTGTTTTTCTTCTTCAAATTAAAAGTTAGCCATAATACCAGTTAACAACCCATAACCTCTACGTGATCTTATATTAAATACYGTAGTTATATTTTACAAGTTGTTTTTTTTTTTGCAAATCTATTTTACAATATTCATCTAAAGAAGTGGAAAACTATATCTATATCTATGCAAGCATTGCGCTTTTTTTACAATTAATTTAGTTGAAAAACAGACTAGCAAAAGCAGAGGAGTAGTACCATAGAATACAAAACTAATAGCTGCAAATTACAAATGAAGATTAATCAAAAGGTCAAAACAAAATGTCATACAGTTTGCAGCTGCTATCAGTCACTTTTTGGATAATATGTAACTAGATCAAAATCGCTACTCATAAATTGAGTGAAGGAGTGATTGTACTTAAACCGTGCAACTGTACAAAMTAAATAGTGCTATTTAGTTGTATTTAGTAAAGTTTGCATGCTGTACGCAAATTAAATTAAAATGATACAAATGAAGCATTCAATACTGTCTTGCTTCAAGTCCACTTTTAGTACAAATTAGTACTACTTAGATTTTGTACAGTTGCATGATTTAAATGCGATAACAGGAATATTATTTTGTGTACAAAGTAAGTCTACAAACTGTTGAAAGCCCAACCCACGTTTCCCTACATCACAGTCCAAAATTCCAAATAAAAAAAGAGTTAAATACAGGCTAAAGCTACTATAAAACAAGATTGTTAGCAGGCATGGCAAATATCTATTGTTAAATGCATGACAAGGAAACGCTCTCTTTTGCCATTGTGCCTAGGTGGCACACAGTGCCTCTACCTGGTAGTGAACTACAGATACATTATTAATATGCAATCCCAAAGTTCTTTTCAGTCATGCAATATTTTATTGCATTTTCTTTAGCAATCTTTTTAAAAAAGCTATATTTTTTTCAGCCTAAAACCATGTACAAATAGAGAAATAGATATTTGAGATGAGCAAAAAGTACAAATAAAAGCTTAGAGAGAAAATAAATACTGACAAATTGAGGCAAGCTGGAGTGGTTTTCACGGACAGTGAACATTAAATGTATGTATAACAATAAGATACCAATTACTTCATCCACCAATATCAATCATTACACTTTTTCTGTTTCACAGTCTAGTGGAAACTACTCTCAGTTGTCTGTTAAGTAACTAATACATAAAGAATATGTATAAGACCATTTTACAAAGATACGCTAGATGCTGATTCACAAGGAATTTATGAACTACGTAAAACTTATGAGCATGGACAGATTTTAAGTTTCTTTTAGTGCTGCAATAATTGACTAAAGCTCATTAAGCACAGCTTAGTAAAACATTAAATACAAYAATTAATATCAAGAAAGGAAGCTTGAAAGTGTAGGTGTATTCAAGTATCAGCCCTTACATCTCAATGACATGAAGAACAGCTTTCTCTTTGGTTTTATGTGAGTCTCCAAGAAGAAAGTACTGTTTGAACTATTTTTTTACATAACTTATTAGCTGTGAATAAGAAGTCAATTGATATATTTTTGTTTCAAAAGTGGATGAGAAAAAGTGGACAAAAGTGTCTCATATTGACATTTCATGCCAATAAATGCCATTCTTGTTCATGAMCATTGCTTTGTGTTTTGTATCCAAGAAAACTTCAACCAACAAAATGTTTAATTCTATCTTTTGATGCATTTCTGTATCTGTTGAATTGTTGTTCTGTCTARTCTTACCAGGTCAAATTCTAGATTAGTATCTGTGATTGCAAAGCAGCCAGATTTTTCAAGGATGTCAACGACTCTTTGAAGGCATTCACTGTCTTTCAGGGATGACAATTCTTTGTGTAAATCAACCAAGTCTGDAATTTGGTGTCCATTTTTCTCATTCTTACTTCTTGGTTTACTTTTAGAACTGAGAAAAATTAAATCATTTATTAGATTTATGTAATTGTAGTGATGTATAGGATGAAAAGATGCAACTGAAAAGTGAAAAAAGAAATGTGAAGTAGAGGGATGGTAGGATTTCAATTGAGTACAGGAAATAGGAATTAAAAAATGAAATAAGAGGATAAAAGGAAAGCAACAAAACAGAAAAATTATAGTAAACAAACAAAGAAAAAGAAAACCAGAAAAATGAATGAGGAAATAACAAAMAAGAGAGTATGAAACAATCAAATAAGATTGGAAAACAATAATTATAATACTAACTTGAGCTTGCTTGATGATTTGGAAGATTCCACTATCTTCGATGCATTTGTTGGGCTTTTACGATGTCCATTTTTCGAGCTATGACTTGTAGTCTTTTTAGCAACTTTCTTGTCTTTGAGTTCAGTTGTTTTTGACTTCTGTTTAATAGATTTATTGTCTTTCTTATTCAAAATATTATTATTGGACAAAGATGAGTCTAATTTGGAGCTCAAAGTATCATTCTGAAAAGGRGTTGAAATATCAATATCTTCCTCATCTTCATAATCCTGATCTAATAACTCAGCCATGAGTGTTCCTAATGCATTATTTTTACCAATGATGCTATTCCCTAATATAGGCAAACTGGGAGAACTTGATGATGTACTACTGCTCCAACTATCGCCAGATTCCCGTCTAAACATCAATTTTTCCACTTTTCTCTCTTCAAGTTTAGACACCTTTGGTTTAGTTTCTTCAGGGGATTTCACCTTCGTCTTTGAGCTTATAATTGCTTTCTTCTTACTTGTATCACCATTACTAGAATGTGTACCAGTACTATTGTTCACTTCTGAACTATTATTCAGTTTGTCTTTCTTTTTATCTTTGGGTTTATCTGTTAGTTGCTTCTCGGGCGGCTTAGCAGGTTTCTTAGACGTTTTAGAYGATGGAAGTGATTTAATTTTCATTTTTACATCTTTACTATTTCCCATAATATGTTGCTCTTCTTCGCCTGCAGCTGGTGGTTCAATGGGTATAAAACCGGTGGATTTAACATTCAATTGCGGACTCTCCTCCACTTTCTTTTTCTTCTTCTTAACTTTCGGCAAAATTTCATCATCATCAGATGGTCTTTTGTTGCTTGATGAAGTAACTTTATTTCCTGAATTACTTGTTTTAATCTGTTTATCCAGTTTTGGTTTTTTAGYTTTCTCTGTTTCATTAGTAGAAGAGCTCTCCTTCATTTCTTTACCATTACTTTCCTTGTGGATTTGAGAAGGATTTCCATTAATACTAGTGCTACTTGAAGTGGATGGTGAACTACATGAAAACAAAAGGTTAAGTCCTCTTAATGTGAAAACCCTTGTGACTTATTATTTCCAAAAGATCCTTATGATTGGCCATTGAGACGTGAATGGCAGATATGCAAATTATGGCAGTCTTTGCAGCACCATGATCAATAGACCTACTAAGCTAGGGCAAAGTTTATCCTGTTTCAGATCCCTCAAAAAAAAAATTCTTTGTTTCCATCAATGCTCGAGAAGATACATGAATATAGATGACTGTAAAACAAAGAATTCTACTCTTAAGGGGTCTGAATTGGATAAACAGTGCTCAAGCCAAGGAGGTCTGCTGGCAGGTAGCTACAGCATGGACAAACATACATAAACATATGATCACAATAACTAACTTAATTATGTCTCAATTGTTTTCATAGTATTTTTATTATGATATATGAACATAGGAAATTTCTTTGGTTTCTTTATTAGTACTATGTATTGTCTTATTAATTTGTATTATTTATATGTTCTTTTTGTACTTATGTAAGCGTTACCTTTGTTATATTTTGTAAACTGTTTATTACAAATAAATAAAAATTATTAAAAAAAAACATAGAAAATTTATAACTCAAAGACAGACACAAGTGAATAAACTTCAGGTTTTACAATGCCATGCCTTTTTAAATAATTACATATCAAAAAAGAGGAGACGTACCTATTACTACCATTAACTGTGTAGAGCATTTCTCCTCCAGATTTCAAGACTTTCTTCTTGAATTCTTCAGGGGGGTTGAGAAACTTGAGAGCCTCTGTTCTGTTATTGTGGATGGTTGGATTGCCAAATGCAGGTAAAAACAGATCATACTCAATCCGTACAGTCTTAGGTTGTTCTTTGTTTTTGAAGTATACATCAATAGGTAAACTGAAACTMCCATAACCATGTTCTTCTACCTTATAAGGTGGTTCTTTGATCACTAGAATAACATAAAATATATCACAAACATTGAAATTTTATATTCACATTATTTTGTTTTACTAGTGCAGAGTTCTACAGGCGTTCAGAGAATCTGGGCAAATTATCCTATCAATTAATCCTTACTCCTAGAGAAAATGYCYCTGGRCAKCTAGTCTGATTGAGCTCATTCTTATAACTCAAAATGACAGTTAACTTGTCAATAAACCAATATTTGATCCAATCAGGAAAAAGCTAATTGAAAAATCAACAACCAGCTCAAACAGCCGAGGTACCCATGGGATGAATGATAAATGTAACTGCTGGGTTTCTGAGAAYATAGCTARATAAAASCATGAGCATAGACCTATTAATAATATGGGAAATTTGCCATTTCCTTTATCGAGTGAATCAGAAAATGTAACTACCAACATCGTGTAACATCAATTCACAAACCCAGACACATTATTTTGTTCTAAATATAGTATTAAAATCAATGTATTCAAAGTTTATTTTATCTATGATTTCAAAACATTGTTCTTAAWAATAGCAATTGTAGATGGCCACAGGGGAAATATTCAACAAGAAATATTTACAGTAAAGGCATGGAACCCCGGGAGACAAAAAATATTCAAACCCTATAAAAAAAGGCTAAACATATTCTTCTCGCTTCAAATTGAAAATTAAAGTTAACCGTRTGTTGAAAATTTGGCGTTTTTAGTGTCGGCGATTAGAATAATTGGAATGTAAGAAAGAGTTTTTTAGGTGCCGAACGAAAATAAATTCAATGCATGACATGTATGTAAACAACATAGCGAAATGTAATCAACAAAACTTGGCCACAATGAAATCCTTTACAATTGATTCAATCACGCTTAGATATGTTAAAGCGAGAATCATCGATATTTATGATACTTAAGAAAGGATATTTGCGCATTTAAAAGTAATCGTCAAGGAGATATACCAGTCAATTTTTACAGGCTTCCACAGGTCTCACCAACACTAAATTGTGACCCCGATGTGCTTCAAAAATCAACCACACATCGTATAACTTAACTTAAAATTCAATTACAATACTCTAATGTCAACGCTTGTTAACTCAAAACCCCCAAAAACCCTCCTTTAACAAATTATCTTTCAATCTCAAATCCTAAACCACGATTTCATGGTAATAAGCTTGGGCAAACAGTATTTACAGTTTATTGATGTTGTAGTTTTTTTTTCTTTTTCAATGAATAGCGTGTACCGAACAAGGCATTGTACCACGAATAATACAGCCAAATGACTCAAGCGGATACGGCTAAATACAATCTGGTTACAGACGTTGGATAAAAAAGCTAAGTGTCTACAATGAAATCTAAATGATCCTTTATGAAGTGAAGGCTATTTCGCACTTCGATTGACAGAAGGAAGACTCAGACAATAGACATCGAACCAACTTCCACAACAACTCACCTCGTTTTGGCTTATGGAAGCTCTCGTGCAAATTGAACACGACTTTCTCCACAAAGTGAGAGATATCTTTATCATCCTGACCTCGAACAAAGACAATCCAATCATGAGTAAAACCYTCCGGAGTAGGACGATTTCTACAAGAAGCTTTGTGGCCGAACTCCAACTTTACTTGAAGAAGTTCTTGTTTGGCGGTCATATCTTCCTCAACCTTAAGTGTTCCCAACAAAGCCTATCATACGATGGGTCTGTGCATGTGGCTTGTAGAACATGAGTTAATGCAAAACATTTAAAAAGAACTATGCCTTCTAAAAACATCAAAACGTGCATTCATAAGAACACTCTCCCGTTTACTCGTGACAGGCAGCAGGTGCGCACGCGCGGCCTTGTCAAACCTACCCACGGGAGGGGAGGGGGAGCGTTTTGGCGCGCTTTGAAATTTACTGTATTAGCAGTTATTTGGAAAATTTCATTGAAAAATCCTTGAATGAGCAAAAACCCTTGTACTGTGACCTTCATCATTGAATATTCGTTTAGATTGTTTTATACTAGTATTTATGTAATGTCAATGAACAACGCTTACAACGTCAACTTGCAAACAGTCTTTTTTGCACCATCCCTTAGTGRGGAGCACTAAAATAGCCTCTTTAAGGAAGGCAAGAAGACTATTGTTACACAAACTCCATCTATTTTTGCAGATAATMAAAATAAGAAATTGAAGCTAATGGTTGTCATACAACTATTTGCTGTAAAAKCATTCTCATTCTCTGTTCTCATTTTTACATACAGTGTAATGAGTGATTGCATATGAGGGTAGACTCTAGACWTAGTTTTCAGCCACCAGGAGCATATGAAATCTCAAGGGCTGAAAACTGAACCAAGATAAACTCTGGTCGCACAAATGACATGATAAAAACGTTATTTATTGAATATTTTGGAAATATWATTCAACATGGTTCTTTAACATTAGATATCAAAGATTTARTGACRACTCACAATCACTCATCTTAATTTGACTTCCCATTTTGCTTTTGTCTCTTYCTTCTGTTCATATGAAATAAAGTTTGATCAGATTCTGATACTCTATTATTCCCATTTTTTCCCATAATGAATATCTTCAATTTCTCTAATTCTCTGGGYAACAAATAGATATCATTCCCACGTATGTCCACTTTGTTTAAMCTTGGTAAACTCTCTGCACAGTCTTTAGGAATGGTTTTGAGTTTATTAGAGTTGAGAATCAGTATCTCAAGKAGAGGAAGTCCTGTCAGAGACTCAGGAAAAGTTTCAAAACAATTTTCCATGAGATTTAGATGCACCAATGACTTAAGATTATTGAAGCCTCTTGGCAAACTTGATAACTGATTGGATGCTAATCCAAGCCARCAAAGACAGTCCAAACTGCAAATTTGATCAGGTAATGAGGAAATGCAATTTTTTCCTGCGCCTAATTTAYTGAGGTTTTTAAGTTTCCCAATTTCAGCTGGAAGTGACATTAATTGTGTGTTGATAACCCATAGTTCTTTTAAATGTACTAGATCGCCGATTTCTGTGGGTAAAAATCCAAGATTATTATGACTTAAGCAAAGTGTTTTCAGATTGCTAAGGTTTCCAAACCCACTAGGTAGCAGTGTAAGCTGGTTATGGTCTATGAGCAACTCTTGTAGTCCAGTCAAAGAAACTAACTCCATGGGAGGCATAATAATACGATTATTGTTCAACAACAATACTTGAACTTTAAGCAACTTTTTCAARGARTCAGGCAAAACAGTTAAATCTCGATGGCTCAAGTTGACGGTTGTCATTCCTTGGTCGATTGCCCTTTGAAGATACGACTCAATTTCCTTAAAACCTGCCTGATACATCGATCACTCAAACATCGGTTCACCTGCAAAAACCAAGCGACAAATTACAGAGATAGGTCAAGAAACTTTCCGCACAAAATTTAAAGTGTCGCGTTTGATGGAAACTTGGCAACGTCTGTAAAGGACGAGAAAACCTGGGACTAGACCTGAGCCCGCGTTCATACAGAACAAAACAAACAGACCGAAAACTGTTTATTTCGGAATTTTTGGTYGAGATTCCTTCATCTCTACGTGTTGCTTTTAGAGACTTCCAACAACTATTATTGGTAGATCTGATACTATCATTTTATTTACTGCTATTTAACCTACTTACATTGCAAAGCAACTAAAAGGAGGACCTTCTCTCGCAAACAAACGACTTGCTTTTCATCTTCGGCTGTATTACATATAAAGACTTATAAGCATCTCATCAATAGTTTAAATCTAAGACGGGAGATGGAAAAAAATGATGGTTGTCGATKTGCGATACCTGTGTAAAGGAAGTGTAGCCAGCTGGCTTGTTAAAATCAACCAATCAGCGTTCGATCTAGTTCAGAACTCAGCTGCCCTTGTAAACATGAACTCTACGTTTGAACATCGTCTAGAGCCGGTTTTTACGACCATTTGACGGCGCCAATGATGATATTAATTGGACTTTATGGCTTAAAATACTTAGCTACATAGAAGGTAAGCGGGATGCAGTTGTTTCGATAGTGTGGGGTTAAATAACGCAAAGAGGAAGACGAACGCCAAAAATATTTGGATAAAACTTCATTCCTAAATAATTCACTGGTAAAATAGGTAATGTTTAACGCGCGAAAATCATTTTTCCCCTCTAACTTCCGTTCTTTTTGTTCTAGATTTCTTTCTTGAATTCTATRAAAATTAGTTGACTGTTTTTGTTTTGTTCAAAATTCCGGTTTCCGACGACAAAATATTCTTGTTCCATCTAACATAGGCCTTTATGTTCGACTGTCATCTGATCCACGATGAAAACGATGTTTCCTTTTCAGTCTTTTCACCGATTGTTTCGTTTCGTTAGAAAGAACTGATTATRTACGGCAATTGAGTTGTGAATGTTTGTGTTTTGCTACTTGTTTCACGGCATTCGACGAAGACGATCATCCCATGTTAGATCATCAACAACGAAGGCACTATCATGCGGTCATATCTCAAAATCTAATTTTARAGAACAAATACACATTTTACTTTGATGAATACTCTCTGACCAAGGAAACTGCTTTTATATTAAGCAAAGGCGAGGAATCGATTGATATTGTTGCAATCTTTTCCATGATTTTATACAAGAGATTTCACTGGGAATTCGCGAAGATTTCCCTTTTCTATAAAGTGAAAAATGAGAATATGTGTCATGGGAGTTCAACTACTGCACAARAAGAAGAAGAAATCTAGAGCAAAAGGAGAACCATCTTCAATTCCAAGAAAACCTTTTTTGAAAAGTAAACATTATTTTACAATAATTGAGCATGCATTRTATGAGGTATCAGTAAGTACATTGTTTTTCTTGATTCAGAGTGCACGATGGAAAAAACACCGAGGGCTACGTCGTCACTTTCGTCCAAAGATGAAAATAATTCGACACTACAAACAGAGAATACAGAGTACAATGAAACAAGCTCTTTGAGCAGTTGTATTACTGAATTTGAGACGTAAGTTCAGATGATAATGAACCAGAATGTTTGATTTGCATAAATATTCAAAACTCAAATAATATTATATTGTCTGCATTCACGATAATGACGGTTCCCATTCATGAATTCACACCATAGTTTCAAATTGTTAGTTTTGCAGATGAAGTGAAAGATGGGGTTCCAGAGGTTGATTTCAGAGGTCGTGTTAACAGGTAAATACTGCTAGATTACYGTATAATAATATTCAAATTTTAAGAATCAATCATATATCAGCAGGGAGTAGGATGAATTTAAAGGAAAACAGCAGCAATTATAAGAATATATGTTAAAATTTTGAAGAAAGGTGTTTATTATATAACACCACTCTATCAAAGCTTTATTGTCAAGTTTTGTATTTCATATTCTTTTTTATTGATTTGTTATATTTTTATTCAAGTGTGAAGGACTGTAATAACATGCTTGCTTTGATATTTGAATATAGTATCACATTTGTTTACTTAGCTTTTCGAATTTTTGACTATTAATAAAAAATACAGATGGTCAACTCTGGTCAAAACATTACTAGTGATATGAATATAAAAAAATAAAATTTAATATTAAAAAAAACATCACACTGTGATGGAAAAGAATGATAAACTAACTTGAAGCTAATCTTAATTGAATGTACAAAATAAAAAAAACTATTCATTACAAARGTTATGTGTTTATTGTCTCAACAATTGACAAATATATAAGCTTACAATTGGTAGGGGAAGGCAAAAGATTATAAGACCATATCTTTTAAAATTAATATACCCCTTTGACACAGGGAGAGGTCTAAGTCTGCCGATGACACAAGAGATGATATATCTGTTGAGTGCTCATCTCAGGTAAGAATACAGTGTTTGTTAAAAAACATCTGACGATAGTTGCCATGGCAATTGCCTACACCTGTAAATATCCACCTTAAATTTGCATAATATTATGCTTATTTTCAAGAACTTGTCCATTTGTATTTGTTAGTAGGCTATATTCATTTGATTGTTCACTTTATATTGACAAAGGGAAAACATATCATTATATTTTATTTATCTCTTTTTGATAGGGTGGGGGGAGAATTAAATATCATTTTTTGAGAGAAAAAAAAATAAGGAAAAAATACACAGTGAAGCCATATGTATCACTTCTAATCTCTACAGTTTTTTTAAGAATTTAAGAACAGAAAAATGTAAATACATGTATATTAAAATATTTTGCATTTTAAACAATATCTCATTAAAATTATTCATAAATTTAATTCATTRAATTTTAGCTGTCTGTGAGATCAGAAAAGCATTCAGGCTTCATTAGGGTGAGTACTGATACCAATAAATATTTAGCTTAATTTAATTCAAATTATCTATAAAATGCCTGACACAGGTAGCCCAATATAGAGGTAATGGGATGAGGAGTTATATGCAAGAGAATGTGCAACCCTTTCACGGCATCATAACTCTATGAAAAGCTGTCCCATACCCTGTCCCTTGCAGTAACACATTGCTGGCCAAATGTACTTAACTTTAATTGGAAATATTACCCAGCAAGTGACACTGATGACAATTTATCATGTTTATATTTGCAAGTAATAATAACCTTATAACTCTATTAGAGATAACTAAATAGTGTTGATCCAAGGAGTGTAGAATATAATTTTAGCACCTATATAATTGTAGAAAAAAAATTAAGCAAAAAAACTTTGTTTGCTCAAGTATTCTCTAGAGAGRTATRTACCKGTGTTCTTTAGTACTTGTGCTCTTACAGTAATTAACTTCAACAGTGGATGGTGGATGGTCTAAGCCAACAACCACAATTTTTTATTKCAAAGTCCCCCACRTATAGTTACATAATTTCTTTACACAATCCGCAAGCTGAATATACCTTGATAATTGATATTAAAAGAAAAAATTAACGCTATAACCACAAACTTAGACCACAATAGTCTAAATTAAATTGATTCACCCTTATATACACAGTCATTCCTATTTATTTAATATCAAGTGCATATTAAGTGACCAGTCATTACGTTGCTAAAGAAATTGTTTCTCTCTGTTAAAATGTTTCTCTCTCACCCTTCACTTGCTATGCTGTCAGTTACATTTCTTAAATCTTAAGGGATTTATTCTTGTGAGTCATATGGTTCAGAGATAAGTGATATCAATTTGATGTAGCAGTAACTGRAGCTTTATGATTGCAATAGTAAAATTTAGTAGCATTAAAATGTCATTAAGAACAATAAAATAAAATACAGAGTTAGGTTACAATAATTATAGTATAATTATGGTTCAGTTGTGAATATAAGCTTCTAGAAAATGGATTTTAATTAAGTGATAAATTTTACTCTATTTTTATTTTACTTTTATCAGGAATCTTCAATTTGAAATCTTCAATTTTTCACAAAATGCAATTTAATATTTAGCCTGCGTGCAGCCGAACCAAAACTTGTTGTTATGTTCATGGCTATTTAATATTTTGATAAAAGCCTTTMATTAGAGAACAATCATGATGTTCGTATTTTATGCTCTTGTTCTGTTGGAGAAAAGAAAATTTGAAAAACAGGAAACAATTACATTATTGTAAAAATATACAACCTAATTTAATAGAACAAGCTTTTCTTGAAGCAATATTATTACTTTATTTTTATTACTTTATATTGTGAACGAAAAAAAATATTTATTGAAGTTACAATTGTATTAAAGTCAAACTTCAACATGATTTTACCAAGTTGCGCAAGTTTGCTCTAAATAATATCAGGATCAGATCATGAAACTTTCATCACTAAAAAAATTAAAATTTTTTACACCCTTCAATTTGATAGCATTTTTATTGGGATATTACCTTGTAAACCAATCATAGATATTATAATCCTTGGAAATGATAAGTCATGATTCTATTGTATTTAATTATTTATTGACCACATATACCACCTGCACCAGATCTAGAAGTGATGCCCGCATGAAAAAAAAAAAAAATCTGACTGACTCTTTTCCAAAAAACATTTGATTAAATTATCTGCTGTTAAAAAATGTCGCAAAAAAGAAAATGAAAAGGGAAGATTTTATATTGAGCTGAAAAAATTGATAAGACAATAATAAAAGATTTTAAATTTTACTTTGTGAGTCTTCGTCTTGTACCCTTCCAAAAGTTGTATTTACAAAACAATAAATAAATATTTCTCTTTGACAATGTTTGCATAATCAGCAATCTGTCTTCCTTTGAGTCATTTGAAATATCATCTTAACATTCATTATCCTTGAACCAGTACAAGCAGCCTAGATAACCTCATTATACCACATTGAAAAAATCTCAAAGAAAAACAATCACTTTTGCTTGAGTGCTTGACACATAAATCTTCCCAGTCTCTCCTATGAATTTTAATATTGAGATTTAAATGTGTGGGCTCAATTACATCAATAGTTGTGAGCACCTTCAACCACCTGCTTCAAGTTTCAGCCAATGAGGAGTCTCAGGCTTCTAGTGTGGTTTCCATATCATACAGATAGCTGTGTTTCTCAAGCTCAAAAAGAGGAAACCAATGTGACACACACAATATACAGACACCCATGGTTCAAAGACGAAATCATGTAAAATGTCAGCTTAGTATTAGTTGACCTTAGCCATGAATTTAGTCCATAGTGCAGGATTTCAGCTATGCATCACTCTAGAAGGAAATCACGTAAAAGACATATTAAAACCAAGGATGCATCTTCCAAAAAAAGTGTCCGCAGACGAGCATCTCAGACAATTCTGGTAAGAGTCTTTTTTCTTCAATTTAGCTTTTCTGATGTTATATTCTGCAAGGTGCAGTGAGAAATAATATTTTAGTTTTTGCAGAAGGAAAAAATCAAGGTAAAAAGCCTGAGTTACTAAGTATGTGACAAGTCTTGTCTGACCTGCATTCATTGAACCTATGTTGAGCAGCACTGAGTTTCATTTAGTGACACACTATTTACTCAGTGTTTCACTTCCATGTTCTAGTATTTTCTACAGCTTCTTAAATTCCTACCATTTGATTCTATCATCGAGCTTTAGGCAGATTTATTATTGCCTTGAAAGATTTTGCATTTTGCAAGATTTTAACCTGTTCTATTATACATGACTGTGATTTTTCTGTTAGTAAGAGTTCACAAAATCACACACACTTTAAGCCCAACATTACACTCACAACCTGGAAAACAGCCAGAAGTTTAAGTCAGTTTGTGGTAGTATCCATATTATCATTGGTTAAGGACAGGACTGTCGAGCATGGTTGTTTAAAAGTCTGCAGACTAAGTCTTTTACTGGAGTACATCAACAAACAAAACACAAAGAAGTATTAAACATAATTTGACCAAAATCATATGGCTTTAATAGAGTCTTTCTCTGATCAGTAAAAACTGACTAAGGCAATAATATGTCCTTGTTTGTACCACACTGGGTAGCTTATCCTGTAGTGTGGTGTAAATTGTGTATCAACTCAACTCAAAGTTATAAAAATGATGCTGTGGAGTGAGTAATGTAGTTTGAATGGAAATTTTCACAATCTAAAAAAATTAATTATCTTAAGTTGTTTTGCTACTGTCAGACAGCTAGCTGATGGTAGACTTAATTTGGTAGAATAAGTATGAATATACATATGTCAAGAAAAACAAATATGAACATGCTATTTATAGCAGAAGTAAAATTTTCACAAACTCCATAATATTTTTAAACTGCAAGCATTCATTTTTGTCAAATTATTTTTATCTCATGTTTGAATATTGTTTTAAGTAAAAAAGGAGCTTTATTCTGTCATTCAGGGAAATGTTGGCACCTAAAGATACAAATAATTAATGGCCTTAAAAAATATCACCATCATGCAAGGAAAAAATACTATCTTGCCAATAGTAATTCCCTCAAAACATCCTTTCTTCTTACTGACTAAATTGATAAAATTGCTCTGACTTGTAAAAATATGATTCTCAATTTCTGTAGAGGGGTAAACAACTGCATAAATTGGTTTAATCGAACCTAGCAATAAAATTAAATTCATTCTTTGCTAATAAGTGGGGCATGTTATGTGGTATTCTATCATCTTAAGTATCTGACCTTTCAATGTTTCTAACATTTGTAGATGAACCTTATTGGAATAAAGGTTTATATCTTTCTTAGTCTTAATTATTAAAGATAAGAAAGAATACCAACTGCAGAGACTTTCATCTCGAATCCTTTTGTCAAATTAAAACAGTGCAGTTTCAAAATATAGTGCTTGTCTTTTACAATTAGGTTTCCAAAAGTTTTCAAAAAAATGATAATTATAGTTTCAATAATAATGGTCAAATTAATTCATTTTCTTTATAATGTAAAACAATCTTTTGTGTATATGTAAATATCATTTCTTCATAAAAATGTTTATCACTAGTGGAAACATTAACAGCTACTAAAGTATATTTGAGACATTGAAAAATAAGCAGATTTTGAAAATTAACCAATACAAAAACAAAATTTTATGGTAATGAAAAAAAATTTAGGGATTTTATTCTAGTATAGAATAAATTTGACAGGATTTATCTTAATCAGGGATTATTATTATCATGTTGACACACTATAAATTAATATTTTTGCTGAGATATTGGATTACCAGACACTAAATTTAAGGACTGTCAACATCAGAAAATTAAAAATCTTTTTTATACAAGTTATTAAAGATTAAAGCTGAATCCTAAACCCCCCAAAATAAAGTTCAACTTTCATAAAATGTTTGACAGCCAATTTCCAAGATTTCCAATTTAATCTTAGATAGGAGGATATGATTGAAAATCTAGGAAGTCAATGACAGTTTTGAAATCATTTAATTGAATATCCTTATATTGTATAGTCAGAGATGGCTCGGATCTTTATCATCTGATACAACATGCTGTTTAGTTTAGTTTAGGTCAGAAAAAAATACTGCAAATATTATAAAAAAGAAWATAAATAAGGGAACTAAACTCCAACTCTTATAGCCAAAATGAAATACACATTGAGATTATTACATGGTATGTCATCAGTTAAAATTCTTTTTAAAGACGTATTATAATGTCTGGGCCACCAATTAATATTCTATACACCACTGGTTTCTCATGGCAATTTTTGAATTAACTCCAATATGTTACAGTTTGTTTTACAAACTGCTTTTATCGTGCCTTCTTGTTATCTTTCAGACTCTTCTCTCTTCTCGCACTCCTTATGATGAATTCCACAGACTCTTTAAAAATGTTCCAAAAGATCAATTCCCTATTAACGGTGGGTAACCACAAGTGTTATAGTTTGCTTGCATTCATGGTTTCATGTTTTTGTGGTCACTTATTAGGCTAAATTATTCTGAAAACAAGCACATGTTTTTGTTGTCACTATGGTAGCTGTAAAGAACTAAGATCATACTTGCTCAATAATCTGATAAATTTATGCATTGTATTGTATTGTATTGTATTCCATTGTATAATATGGTTAATTGCAATATGTATTGTGTTAATCAGCTGTGTAAAAGATAAAAAAAACTGTAAAAAAGTAGGTGAAGGATTAACGTCCAAAATGTTAGTAAGTTGTTTCACCTACTTTTACAGTGTTAAATTTATCTTATTACACAACTGTTTCTTTATAAACACTGGCACAGCTCACACTAGTTTCCACCACCATTACTATTGTGTTAATCTACTGTTATGTGGGCAAATCATACAAAACAATGCCAAGCATAAATTTGTCGATCAGAGTATTGGACAACCCCTGTAAAGATTACTATGGTAATAAGTATCTTGCTGATTATGAAAACTATGGTAAGCCACATTACTCTGAGGACAGAACTGTCTCCTCAAAGACACCCTAATATCACAGAAAAACAAATCCCTGCTAATTGTCTTTATAGAGGACTTTATAGAGGACACTTGTTAATGAGGACACTATAATGAAAATACTGCAGTTTCAAAGGTGTCTGTTGTAACAATTGTTGAATGCATATTGTATTTCTCTTTACCAGATTTCTCTTGTGCCTTAAGCCGTGATATCCTACTACAAGGTCGTCTTTATATTAGTCAAGGATGGTTTTGCTTCTATTCGAATATCTTTGGCTGGGAAACACAAGTTACTATTGACTGTAGTAAAATACAATCAATAACAAGAGAGAAAACTGCTTATGTTGTACCTAATGCTATTCTAATATCTACTTTTGATGATAAGGTACTGATAGCACAAACCTGATGCCAGTTTATGATTATAAAGATGCAAATACAGTAAGAGCACTATCTGCGCAGGGTATATCCTGCATTATCACACAATGTGATCTTTGAGAAGATAACTAAAGGCACTCATAATTGAATGTTTTTGCACATTGTAATTATCCTAAAAAATTATTTATACATCCCAATAAATTTGAAAATGGGACAACTGAATGAAAAAAAACAGTACTTAATGATAAAGATAAAACACTTGGACCGAGTTTATGCCATGTATTCATATATTATTGGTTGTATTATAATTTTATTCTTTGTTTCCTTGTTCAGCATTTTTTCTCATCTTTTCTATCACGAGAGAGTGTATACAAACTACTTATTCAGGTCTGGGAAGATGTAGTGGCTAAAACACAAGTAAGATGACACTTTAATTGTGATTACATCATGAGCCAAGAAATGATTATTACTCTTGTTTTAAAGGAACCATCAGAAGAAGACTTGCTAGATAATTTACCATTCCACGAATTAGATGAAGAACTCGACAACAATAACATCGACATTGCTGACACTAGTTTTGATGGTAAGCAACCATTGAAATTAAGAATTAAAATACTGGATAAGAATAAATGGTAATTGTATTATTCTAGGTATCGAGCCAATTGGTTATGCTGTCAATGAGAACAAATTCAGCTCAGACAGTGGTTTTTATGACTGCCAAGCACCAGGGATTTTATCAGCAGACCTCGAAACAGATCCCCAAAGCATGATGTCATTTGATCCAACTCTAGAGGAAGAGATCAACCACAGTTCATCTAAGTTGCCGTCATGGGGTAGGAATACTATCAGTGTTAAATCATGTCATTAATTATCATCATCATCATCAATCACTTCTAGATCTCATCATTTTAATAAATGAAAACTATCACTATTAAAGTGAATGGCTATAGAGGTATTTTATTAGTACTTATTGAAAGTTTATATTTCTTTAAAGCCAAAATAGCTTTGTGTGCTGCGTCAATAGCAGAGATGACATTCTCTTATTTCCAAGTAACATACCAACTTCTACGAAGACTTTCAAAACAGCAACTATTCATCTTATTCACGTCAATAATGTAAGTTTTGCAACAAGTTTATTCAGTGGTGAAACAAAAAGGAGATGGATCAATGAAAATATAAATGGGAGAAATAGATGACTGAACGAATGAAATAATGAAATACAATCAATGGTCAAATGACCAAATGACTGACAAAAAAATTTGCATGAGAATGAACAAACGGATAGGAAAATGAATTAACTGACAAAAACATGAATGACCAAATGGATAGATATTTGCATGAAATGTATATATCAATAAAAAAGTATAAAAATGAACAGATGGGAAAATAAATGAATGAATGAAGGAGAAACTGAAAAAAGTTTTTGTTTTTTTACAGAATTATCACCTTAATGTGCTGTAGTGCTTTTCTATTATACCGTCTGGCTGTGTTGGAGCCATTAGTCTTTACAAAACCTCCCATTAGTAAAGCCTATGTGTAAGTATTAGTAATAGACAGCATGAATACTCAGTTTTAATGGAAAACACCCTAAAGGATTATTGTAATCCATATTGTACATTTTAAGTTGAGTAGGATCATAATGTTATTTCTTGATGTACTTTAATGGCTGCTATACTTTCCTTTTGCAAGAGAGTGAGTGTGTATTAGATTGATTGACTTGTTAGTTGTTTATTTTTCTTCCAGTATGAATTATTTGATTTTATTTGGACTGTTTGTTTTGTGAACATTTTTTTTTCATTTTCTCACCACATTCTGTATACTTTGAATGTCCTGTATTCATTAAAAGACACTAAATTTAAATCTTAATGAACTTCCACAGCAGTCAGAAGTCTGTACATCAAATCTTAAAATTAAGAAAAGAAGTTTATGATGCAGAAGTAATGAGGTTTGTATATTTAGGAAGCAAACCGTTACATAGAAATTATACAGCTATTTCAAAAAAACAATTGTCAGTGAGAACGGTGATTGTCGAAGGGAGATTGCACGACCGAAAGGGGCTATGTTATACTGTTACTTGCACTTACTGGACTCATAGGCTAACCCATAGGCTAACTTATAGTAAAAATCAGTTGCTATCTTTCAATAAGCAAAACCCATGGCTTCTTTCGGTTGTGTAATCACCATTCGACCATTGACATTTGTCAATTTAGTCAACAACCTTTTTGAAATAGCTATATGTATTATTGTTGTGATTATGTTTTTCATTGGTTGATTGACTGATCATATATATTTACTGCTTTCAGAGTTCAGAAAATAGTATCAGCTAATCTAGAAGCAATTTCACAGGTAAAAAATGAACTAAAAACATTTTCACCAAACCTGTCCAGTGCAATGTAACTGTTTAACCTACAACATAGTAGCTTAGACTGTCAATAAGTAAACAATACATTATTTTTTTCTCAACAGATAAGTGAAACACTTAAGATGCTCCAAGAAGACTTAGCAAACCAACTTCATCGAAACTGCACAGTGATTGACAAAAATGTGTGCGTTAATCTCTGAGATGTTTTGACAACATGAGAACAGTCTTACAGAAAGTAGATTTAAAACCAAAAACCAATTCTTCTAAACAACTRCAAAACGTAGCCTTGTCAGTAACCACTAAAGATGATGTATAGTTATGAGTATAAAGTTGTCGTTGTAATGATTTTTAATATCACCTTTGTCTTTCTATAGCACTATATGCTACTGTTTGTACATATAAACTAAGAAAATTACTATATTTATGAAGTCAAAGTATTTAAGATATATTTTGCATTTCGAGTACCTTAATATGCATCTAATTTAAATATTGTGACACAGTTTGTAACTAGAAGATAAAGAGTTTTATTACATAACTGTTATAGTGTCATCTGCAGTTGTATTTGAATGTCAAGTCGTTGAGAATGGCACTGTTAAAAAACACCTTAACATATAACATTCAATAGTTGTTATAAGAGATAAACAATAATGAATCTTTTATTGCCATATATAGTGATCCAGCATAAAAACCTTCAAGGTTTTCCTTAAAACCAAAAAAAAATATTTGGATAATAACTAAAAATTATAATATTTCAATAAAATCATTGCATGAAGGCAATTCTTATACTAAAAATTAAATTTCCTTATATATTAATATAATATTAATGCTCGCTATGCTGATTTATTTAATTTTTGTAAATAACACTACCAAAAAATATTGATAACATTCATTTTATCTATAAAAAATATTTATGATAATAATTGCAATTTCTTATATAATATTAAATTACAATTATTGAATCAAAGTATAAAAGTAGGAACTTATAATACTATAAAATTTAGTAATATACAGTAAGCATTCAGAAATCTTGGTATTGTTGTCAGTTGACCCCCTCAGAAGAGTTGAAACAGTCAGAAATATTTATTTGTATTTTTCTGTGCACTGTACATGCTTATTCTAGGTTCTGTGAATGATGTGTGTTATTGATAGACGTCATTTCACATGCTAATACATCTTATCTGATAGTTGTAGGTATTTCCAGAGCAAGAATTGTACTCTGTAAATTATATTTTCAAACGTTTGTAGAATAGCTTTCCCATTATATATTTTCAAATTGTCACATTAAAATTTTGAGTTATTTTATCAATAAATATTTATAAGTTAGCCTATAAGTTATTTTAATGCAGTTTATGACAGAATGATGTGGAGATGATGCTGGCATCATAATGCACTAATCATTGTCATGAACTGCAGGCTACTTGTCATGAGGATGTACATATTAATCAGTGTTGACTTTAGTAGTGTATAAAAAAACAAGTTTAAGTCATTAAAGGTTGTCATTGATCAAATTCATTGTTTCATGAAATTATTGGGATAATTAAGGGATTTGATAAAAGGTATGACAAACGAATTTACGTTTAGGCTATCAGGCCATTGCAAAAACTTCAAAATACAGGTTAAGAAATTAGCTTGAAAGGTCATAGGAAAACAYGTGCAGTTTGACATGTTTCATGAGTAAACTTACACAGCTTAAAAATGACCAGTATTTCAAATATTACAACTATCAAAATCAAAATTCCTACACACTTCACAAGACAATTGACAGAAAATAATATTTACTGATCAAAGCCAGCAGAATTCATTCCCTACRAACAGTGTTCACGGACTGCAAAAGGCAAACAAAATTAACTCGAATATTATATCTTGAAAAACACAAACTATTCAGTATCATGCTGTTGCTGTACAAAAGCTTTAAAGTCAACATCAAGCTTATCTGATTTGTACCTTTAAGTTAACCAATGCATCTACAACCATTTAGTGGAAAATTGAAGTATTGTACAAATTTTGCTGGCATTGTGGTTGAGGGCTTTGGCAAAAATTCTTGGATTATAGCCATCTTTGAAGTTCACTCACTGTTTAGTGGAAACTACTCTTATCTTGTAAAGACAACTAGTAGAGGATCAATACACCTATTTTGGCTCAAGCTAAGTGCATCTGAAGTTTTTTCATCTAACCAAGTTAAAAATATTTTGACTAACACAACAATAACATCAGTTTCCTATGTCTGGTTTGCTCAATGGCAGACGTGGTGTCCTTTGACATTTATGTAATATCAAACGTACGAACAATGTAAACCACTTGCAGTATTGCAAAATTCTTGGCAAAACAACTTGCCAATAGCAAAGAACAATCTAAGGCAGAGTCACGTAAACTTAGTTTGCACAAATTTATCAAATTTAATTTGATTCACTTCAGTGAAAAATTTTTACAAACCAACAAAAAATTGGTAATAATTCCCACTTTGAAAGCAAATCATCCTTGCAATAAATCACTAGATTACATGTATACATGTGAACAATATACATGTAATAAATCCAAAATAACTATAATATTACTAAAGTAATGCAGACATTAAAATTGCTAGGCTAGGCTAGGTTTTTTGTGGCAAAGCATGTTTTTTTTTGCACGTAAGCATTTTTGTCACAAGCCAGTCAGGAGACTTGCCTATTTTGTAGTTGACATCATAGTGAAAAGGAGGTTTTTGTTGACGAGTATCGCTATTCCCCTATTAGTTTCACAAGTAAAGTAAACACACTCTACTTCATTAATTCTATTATTGATATATTTCATTTAACAAACAATACTCAAGTAATTTTACACAATACTCTGTCAAGTRATACCAATATTATATTTACTTTTTGCTTAAATAATATAGTTTATCTAATGTCTTAACTCTATTATATACAACATACACTTAATAATAATATAAAAAAAAACAGAAATGCAAACAACTCAGCTACAATAAAATGTGTGCTAAAAAKAATGGAAAACTAGGAAATTTGTAGTATTTTGGTACTTGTGCTGTTTTTATSGTTACATGACCACATACATGTATAATAGAGTGGTTTTCATAAACCCGTGAAACAAATTGTAATAATCAGAGTGTAATAGATCGTAATAGTCGCGTAAGGACAATAAAAAACAAAAGAGCCAAAGTGTGATAGCGATAAATACGCTAAAGTGTGTTTCACGGGTTAATGAAAACCACTCTAGTTCCTGGTTCAACTCTAGCATCAGTAAAGTAAATTGTTTCAAACAAATACAATTTTACAATAATATTTAACTGCATTAAGGAGCAAATGATGCCAGAATTGAGAAGAACATTACCATGTCTAAAATAATATCACCTGCTAAAATATGATTGTATGCTTTCTTTAAACAATGTGCTGTTGCAAACACAAGCAAGAATTAGCAAGACAAGGCATGGAAATATCCATGAATTCAATAACTACAGAGTGATGCAGGTTCTGTAGTCAACAATTTAGTTTTTTATCCTTTTTCAAGAGATGCCAATGTATGTGCATTGTAGTGCTCTCTCAAAAGAAACTACCACTCTACTCAAAGACTATCAAGCTGACATTAATGGCCAATGAGCCTGCAAAGATTGATGAATCTTAATATATCTTTTATATAAATACATTTAGAAACGCATTGCTGAATGCGARTCCATAAATTGCATGCTGAATAATATGTACACTTTTGTGATAASATAAGGATAATATTACAAGTAAATAGCAACTTGTATTGTATACCCTTCTGTAAAATGAAGTTATTTCTARAATTTTAGGAAAATACTTAACTTAATACTTAGTACCATCATGGCAAATTTTGTCACTGATTACCATTACTTCTGATAATAAAGATGAACACTGATATTATTTTCATGAAATGATTCCTTATGGTAGTGGAATATAAGCAAAACAAACATTATACATTCCATTCCTCCCTTGGAATTCCTATCCTAATTCTAAATGTATAATTTTCTTGCCTTTCCACTAAAGTGCAATATCTCTAAAGTACAGAATACACCATGAAATGAAAATAACATTACATGTTGTGCTTATCCAAGTTGTATATAAATAATAARAATTTAGTTTTGAATAAAAATACTTCATAATAAACCAATGTAGAACTCATGCATATTGCTTTAAGCAACTGCAATCAAAGGCCGACCTCTTCCCACACCATTGCGGAATCCTTTGGTACCATCAGGTCCTCTTGGCAAGCGTTCCACGCCTTCTAACTGTACCATCTTATGCCTGGCTCTTTCTGAGTCGGCTAATGGAGAGTGACCACTTGGGGAAGCAGTCTTACGACGCTGTGACCATGGACTGTTAGGTGCACTATTGCTTTCTTTCCCACTACCAGAAGAATTGAGRCTCCTTCTGATTGGCTCAGGACTACTTTGAGGAGATCTCCATGACAATGGTTTGTCATTTTCCTTTCGTCCCACCCTTGGGCTACCATGGGGACTCCCCCGCGGACTATGGTTTGGCGAGTTTCTATAGCGACGCTGGCAACTACTGAATGGGTTGTAGGAACTGTCAGTATCAGAAGAAGCAGAGCTTGTGTGCCCTTCATCGGTTGAATGTCCCTTCAACTCATTGATCCGTTGATTCTTGTTTTTCTTGCCTCTATTTCGCTTTCTCTTTATTTTATCATCGTGTTCCTCGTCTGATTCTAGAACAATTTCGCCATCTCGTTCTCTTATTTTGCTTTTTTCTTTCTTTTTGGTTTGTTTTCCTAACTCTACGACCTTCATCGCGCCTTCTTTAGTAAGTTCACTACAAGCACGTGCGGCGGCTGCCATGGTTTCAAATTCGATTATAGCGAAAGTTTCGGTAGAAATGTCAGGAAACTTCGTCAAAAATCCCTTCACGTCGGGAGGTATTACCTTACCAGGACGAATAATGCGAATGAGAACAATTTCCCCACACTTAGAGAACATTTCACTGACTTTTTCAAAGGTTGGATCATCGATCTTCGTAGCTATCACTGTACGCCCAGGATTTCGTTCTAGCAGTTCCGTAGGAAGTGGATCTATACGTTTTACTTTCGTAACTTCGGTGTTTAAAACTAATTTAGTCGATTGCTTTAACGCTTCGCCAACGACTCGATAGTCCTTTGTAAGCGACTTGACTTTTTTGAACGATGTAATAAGCTTTAAGTTAACATATCCTTCCTTATTTCGACGGACATGCTTTAGCAGAAAGGCATCACGACTGAGGTTGTCGTCGCTCAGGTACAACTCAACTTGGGCTACGATTCTCTGCTTTAATTCATCGTTTGGCGGACTGTAAACTTCAGGAAGATCTTTTAGTTCGTTTTCTGAATGTGATTCAGCTGCGCTAGGCGAACGAGTGCCAAGCTTTCCTTCTTGCTCTTCTTCTGAATTTGAGGAGGCGGCTAGATCATGGTCAGAACACGCAACGAACTCTTGGCCGTTCAAGAGAACTTTCGGCGAATTTTCTACCGTGGATTCAGTCTTCTTTACCAYAATACTTTCACCTTGAACGTCAGCCATCACGAGATACGATCTAACTCAGATGTTTCTCACTAAATAGCTTACGAACTAACCTCCAACTTCGGCCAACTCACAACTACATCTACTTTGTCAAAAATTGTCGTAATCTATTTATAGTTTTCTCTCACGTGGTAGTGTGACGTTGCTTTCGATTGTTTCATTGGCCTTGTACTTGGCCCTTCCGGTCATATGAACCAACCTCGTTGGCATTTACCGCACGTACACAAAATACGATCGTCAGAGTTTATAAAATTATTATCAAGCTTCGAGTCCTTTCCTGCTAGTGTTGATATTAAAATGTTTGATATTGCATAATAATGCAATACTCTTGGGTAATTGCATGGCACCATGTTGTTTTATATCTATGACGTAGTTTAACGTGACGTGGTTCATGCTTTTTATCATGTTTGATAAAACAATCGGACAAACTGCCCTCAAAATGTCAGATATCACTTCTATTTTCCTTTTTATATATTTTTAACAAAAGGATTGTTTGACCTTGGGAAAACAGCAAGCATTTTTTTTTAAATATTTAAAAGTACAAGAGAGTTGAAAAAAAGTGATGACAACGCGCAAAGGGGAATGACCTTGGACTTTGGCATGTTCACAAATCRTTTAAAATTTCTTGCAAAAGAGTGACCTTTTGTACAGTGAAACTTCCTGAGCAGAATGCAATATGATAATCTCGTGAATAAGACTTAAATAAATCTAGTTCCTGTTTTGCGTCCCGACAACTATTCAAATATTCCCATRGTGACATAGTGCTTCGTGATGATCAGCAGACAAGATTCTTAAAGTTAAGGTAAACCTAATAATAAGTACTACCACTGGTTATAAAAGGTTTAATTAAAACATAGTATGCATTTTACTTAAAAAAGTTGAAAATGAAATGTGATAATTTTAKCATTAAAATTTTATAATTGAAATATAGTATTTATACATGAGTTATTTGTTAATTATTTTTCATATTAAAACAATATTTCTGGGCTAAAAATTTTACATTAAATTAATTTTTTGGCATTCTTTAATACAATTTTGATAATATGCTAAATCATATAGTGTCTTCTTTGGAGCACAATAATTATTCATTATTTATGCTGACTTTTCTCTTTTTTTAAAGTCTTACTTTGCAGTTTTTTTACCCACTTAAAACAATACAGTAATAAATTTTCATTAGCAACAATTTACCTACTTGCACAAATACCTAATCAATCCCATGAAGYACTGATTRATGACATCATCAAGGTTCAATACAAACACGGTGATAGTTCTGCTTCATTGTCATGGCAACAGCATCATTAATATCTTTTAATGCATATGGCATGCTGAAGAGCTCACTGTAWGGGTATTTGTGTACAGTTCGGACCAGAAAAGACACTGCTTTGTCAAGGTGTTGTGGACCATAATTATGAAACCCTTGCGAAAAACAGCACAAAACAATTTTAATCTTCACTAAACTGTTTGAAAACGAATTTTCCAATAAACAAGACACCTTCCTTTACAGATCATAACAAATCGGTCAGAATAAATCTGGTTACTGCTTGAAAAGCAATAGACGACAGTAGAATGTTCTTCCAAACAATAAAACAAAACCTAACCCAACAAATATAGAAGTTTTATACTAAGGCATTAATCAAAAAGCAGGTTTCAATGACATCTGAAAATTTCTCCGCTGCCTCTTACAACAAGAGCCCACAAAATGAATTCATTTCTTCGCAGGCATATAACTTTTCAGTTCTCTAATGCCATATTTCTTCTTAAAAATGCATGCAGTTTAATCAATGAAGTATCAAGAACAAGCCTTAAACATGTGACATACCTTGGATTGTAAGACATTTGTTTATGATCTGCTCAGCAGTTAACATATCAAGCTTGCTATCAGGATGGACCATTCCTACCAACACATACGTTCCTCCATATCTGAGAAGTCTTATCCCCTCACTGATGACACTTCTGTGACCACAAACCTATTAATATTCATTAATGTTAATATAAAGAAGAAGGCCAAAGTGCCGAAACGTTCAAATAAAGAGTAGAAATACTAGTTGCAAGTTGTGTGCCTTTTTCTTCAATTTATTCAATTTAYAATCAATAATGTATATATGATGAGCTGCTCCAGTRGAAGTGACAAAAGTGAACCCAAATTACATACACATTTTCTCAGTTTCATTTTATTTGTATTTACCTCAACCACAACATCAACAGAATTCTCTTCAGGTCTATCATCACCAGATTGTCCTGTGAAAATACCAAAATTCCGATTACTAAGTTTTTCAAGTGCAAGAATATCACACAAGTGCTGAGCCAAACTTATTGATTCAAATAATATAGAAAATAAAAACATTTTATGACATGGACAATACCTGCTAAGAGAGGAATTGCACCAAATTTTGAAATAATTTCAAGTCTTTTTGGATTCACATCAGAACAGTAGACTTTGAAGCCAGCTTCGTCTAGCATTGCACAACCATACACACCCAACAGGCCTGCCCCCTGAATAACACAAATGATTTTAATAATATTTGCATTAATTATCAAATTCATTAATAATTCATAAGGTAAACACAATGGAAAATCATTGCTGTGACTGCATCTTTATATGAGCAAGAAATTTGTCCTGATTTGCATACGACTTTAACTTTGATTTTCTCTTACAAATGATATTTTATACTGAAGTTTTTTTTCCGAAATATGCTTTAGCTTATGTTGGAAGTTGATAAGCAATATAAAATATTCGCTTGCAGCTCGCAGTTTTAAATGCCCATAAAGGTCTCGCGCTCATTTTATATATTACTAAATACTCTCCTTTTTCAGCTGCCCCCCACTGAGTGCTGGCTCAAGGGCAGCTTAAAAAGGAGGCTTGGTTTCTCCTCCTTACTTGAATAAGCACAGTTCTTTGCCTTGTACATTCCTTTCTCTGAGATTCTTTGTCAATCACTCCACCCAGTGCATTGACCATAGTTGCAAGAGCACAGTTTATGGGTGCTGCAAAGCTGTTGGGTACCTCGGATGGTATCTTAACAACATGTGTGTTCTTGCGTATGACAATATGGGAGGCATAGCATCCATTAGCCCCAGTACCATCAGATATCACTGCTCGGGAATACTAAGGAAAAACAAAAAGTACAATTCTATGATAAGAACTGGAATAGAGTGATATCAACAAATAACATTCTGTAAATAAATCAAACCATTATTTAATAGCCGAGTTTAGATATTTTGGTTCAGTGACCATGCACAAAAGAATTGCAGACGAGGCTCCGGGGAAATAAAGAATAAAACGATATTATACGCTCTTTGATTGGTCATTTTGAAGCATGCACTTCAAAATAACTCTTTGCAATATTAAAAAAAATAAAATTATCAATGGATAATCTTGATTTATTCTTTATTTCCCCGGAGCCTCGTCTGCAATTCTTTTGTGCATGGTCACTGAAGCAAAATATCTAAACTCGGCTATTAAATGAGCATTGCTCTTTTTATGATGAACACAATTTATTAAACAAAATTGAACAATTTCAGGGATAAAGTGTGCTTATTCAATTGGTAGAGCTCCACAAATCTTATACCATGAAAATATTGTCATTATTATTAGAATCACTATCATTATCACAACTATCACATCACATGCAAAATAAAAGACACCAAATCTTAACCATCGCAATGAAAATTATACCCACTTATCAAAGTACCTTAAACAATGACTTGCACTTTTGAGGTAGTCCATCTTTGCAGGTGTCACAGAAATTACAATTAWCAATCATGCAAAAAGTCAACTTTTCACCAGRTAATAATTGACTGCTGGGTCGTTTGTGATGAACCACCTCTACGACTCCCTCGTGACCTAGAATACTACACCAAATCAAGTAATAATACAGGATATAACAAAACTATATACACTTCTATGTATACACTATATATGCAATTCATGATTTTCCAAACACAGGTTCAGTGACCATGAACAAAGCATTGAGGRGTCATTAGGTACAGTGAACATAAAAGAAAAGATCTGTGATCAGTGTTCCTTGACSCCYMRGTTCAATGCTTTGTCTGTGGTCACTGAACCTGCGTATGGAAAGTCATGAATAACAAATTTAAACCATCTTAAACAAGACTGCATGTATATTTAACAATTAGACCTCAGGGGCAAATGGAGTATGAGCTGATAGCCCTGGACAAATAATTCTAATAATTTGCACTAATGGCTTTAATTAAATGTGCATAAGCTTAATTTAAAATTAAATTTGCATAAGCTTAATTTAAAATTAAATTTGCATAAGCTTAATTTAAAGTTACCTACGATTTCGTTTGACACGTTTGGCATGCATTGACGTCAAGTAAATTCAGTTCACTACTACACGCTTGTGAAACCTGGGTTGGGTAAAAAAAACTTAAAATGTTCCTTCACACGGCACCGATTTGACACACAATATTTCTCAAAGAAAATCAAAGTTGGCGTTTTTCACTAAAATAGACCCCGAGTAGYGTAGCCAATYATWATTTAGGACTTGCAATAGTCYACTAGTATGRCAATACTAAAATATTGATGTTAGCTTTATTATAGTATTAAGTAAAAAAGATACCTTTTTATACAAATTCAGATGTCTTTGCGGACATTATTGTCTAATCTTTGCAAAACATAACCTAATTCTGAGCTGATGAAGGACAAAAGATGCTATAAAGATGTCGTTAGAAGCTTTGACCTAAATTGCATAAATTTACACAGACCTTGGAACAGGCACATTCCTCCTCCCTTGGAGCGTATGTAAGTCGGAACCACATATAGTAGCTACCAAGATTTTACCAAGGATTTCTCCTTCTTGAATTTCTGGCAAAGGAACATTTTCCAAGACGAGAGATGGATCTGAATGRAATCCRTAGAAAACCGCGCGATYCATCCTTCTGCACATTCAACTGATTTGACACAGGAACCCCAATCACTACAATGTTTGCGAGGGCCTAGAAACCTATATGGAAACCACTTGGAACGCCTGGGAGATATGACACCTTAAGGTTTGATAAAGTATTTTATCAATGTTTATGTGGAAAAGGACGTTTTCGTTCCTCTCAAGACGGACGCACAGACCATTGGCATCTTGTCATCTTAGACAAAGACACTTACCTCACTGGACATCGTATTTTGTAGCATACAAAGATGTTATCAACGATCAATTCGCCATGTCACATTTCAATTGGACTGTTGATGAAGTTAACTATCACATTTTGAGAACTGGGTGCTTTCCATTTATCAAATATCATTGCTCAAAAAGACCTTATCAGGATCTTTCTTTAGAAAACAGAATCTTCACTGTCCTYAAGGCACTTAATCTTGGATTGCCTACTTTAGCGTATGGTGTGGCCGGCTGTTTTCTTATCAGACATGAAGAGACTGTCACGACCAAGAGAGGACAAGTCAAAATATACTTTCTTATTCCAGAAAATAAAGGCGCAGTTCAYTGAGGGAAAATTCAACAGAGCAACATGAACTTGAACTCATGAGGAAGGAAAATAACGTTTGACTAGTTTCATTGAGGAGGTCGTGAATCAGAATTGCGCACAATAGTCTGGCCCAACTTTATTATAAGTAGATGCGAAATAAATGAGTTTTAGTCTTATATTGACCAAATTACCCTGATTATTGGCTGTTTCATAGGCAATACTGCGGGCGCACGCCAACTATTCATGACGTCATGTATGAGTAGAAAATAGAAAACACTGAGAATGTCAATGCGCGAGAGGATTTGTTTAATCTGAGCATGGAACCACAAGAAATAAAAGTAGTTGGTAAGAATACTATTTTGATTACGTACTAAGAAATTAAGCKCTTCAGCCTGAYAATATTACTCTGAATGTGTAGTTTATGCAGCAAGAAACTTACAGTCCAAGCGCGATGAAGGTAATAATAAAATTGAAAAGGCGATCTGCCAATTTTCACGGTCTTCTTTTGAAAATAATTGTCTAAAACATTTTCCTTAAGGTATTTGCAATGCATCAGTTGTGTTTGGCGTTGGAAAAGAGAAATTTCGCACAGATGTAGTCAGAGGAAACAACCCAACATGGAACGAAGAGTCTGTCATGTAAGTAATTGTACGGCCAAAATAAGATATTTTTATTCCCATTTTATTCATAATTCAATGTTTCGGTTCGCATATAAATAGCAGTTTCGTTAGTAAAAGAGAGATTATTTAGATCTTCGAGTCTGAGCTGATCAAATTTCCTAGACCTATAAATATTCCGGATGTAGAATTGTCCAGCACTTTTAATATACGTACATTGTTTGCAAGCGAGAGCAAATAAAAGACACACATTCCGAGCCAAAATATTTGCGTAAAAACATAAATAGGCAATGTTATCGTTGAAAGGTTCGATAAATCTAATTTTACTACAAAAAGCATCACGTGTACTTCAGCCGTCAATTTACTGCGATAAATTCAGACTCAAGTCTCTTTTCATTTTCATTCAAAACCATACGTGCGCAGGTGTTGTTAGTCGATTATAAATTATAAACAGTCCAGATCATTTCCTGTTTTCACTCTCTCATTATGTTTACTGCTGTCAATTTATAGACTGATTACACCATGAAAATAAAGTTTTCGCTTTTTTAAACTTACGGCAAAGACTAAAAAACAATTCCAAATGATTGCTTTAGAATGACATTGACAAATTCAAATAACCATATAAGACTTCTTRAAATACACTAGTCAATGTTTTATTAATTATAATTGCCGAGTAAAAAGTATGAAATAACGTGATATCAATAAAACACAAGTACTAAATAAGTCGAAAGCCTATATTGAGCAAAATCTTTGTATCCTCTTGAAGAAATCAACGCGCGCGATGACTACTCGGAAGTGTGCAAGCAATTTGTGTGTAGAGGGGCTTTTGAATCTACTAGGGTAGGTCAAGGGCAAGTAGATGAACATAAAATTAATGTAGCTTGGATGTAGCTTTGCCGTTCTCATCAAAGCTCCCGTGGGGAGGGGAAGGGGGAAAAAGAAGGAAGAACCTGACATTTTCTGTAACACCATTAAAATCACTTTTTGCCTTGCAGCAAAGTTGTTAAAGCTGGCCCACTTGTCTTCACTGTGTATGACAAGGATGATGTCMTTGGTAGCGTGTCTGTACCTCTTGCCCAGGTTCCCTCGGCAGCACACCGTCGCAGATGGATGCCACTGGCCATGAAAAATGCGCCGTCMAACGGCGACCTTTGTCTTGATTGCTGGGTTGTGGCGTTTAAAAAAAGCACAAGTACATGGACAGCGGCTTTTAAAAGTAGCTTTTTGCCATCTAGTCTAGCAAGGGATAGATCAAAACGTCGACAATCCATAGAAATGGCTTCTATATCACTCAGAGGATCGCATTCCCAAGAAAACTTATATACGAATCCCAATGTAAAAACATTAACTTCTATAGCGTCTAGAGAAAAMTTAACACGAACAGACAGTGGCGAAATCTCCCGACCACTACCACCACCCCCTATGGATAATCCCCCACCTCCTCTCCCCTCATCTATAAAAGACACTAAAAACAAGTTAACATTGAACTTCAAGCCCCGTCTAACACCTACCCTAGGACAAATTATGTCAGGATGTGGACCCCCTGAAATAACTGTAGTAACTCCTAAGTGTGGTCCAGCGTCCGGGGGAACGCGTGTCACAATACGAGGTGCTAACCTTGGGAAATCGAAAGAGGATATATTGTCTCTGAGTGTAAATGGCTCTGATGTACGGAGCACACTCGAATGGCATTCTTCGGCAAAGGTTACATTTGCAACGAAGCCTTGGGGTGGATGTGGCCCTGTCGCTATGGTTACCAAATCAGGGGGGAGAGGTACATCGACGGTCAAGTTTACATTTGAAGAGAAAAAAGGTAAGGTTAATATAATAATAGTAGTTACTATTATAATCATCATCATCAGATTTGATTACCGTAATCAGCGGCAATGTGAGAGCGTTGCGAACTAATTCTATTTTTCTTTATCTAATTCAATCATTAGAAGTGAAAGATACCAAAGTCCCTCGTAAACAACTTTTAGAGGAATTGACTCGATTACGTCATGAAGTACATGGTAAGATACTACGTGATCTTAAATCAGCCAATCAATGRAAGCACTTTTTGTCGACTTGATACTTGTTAAGATTGGTTTGCTTGGCTTTTTCCCATACAACGTCATTCTACWCACATTATCGCTATCATTACAATAGTTATTTCTGTATAATAACATTATGATAATTATTACTATTATCCAGAGTTAACAGATGAAAACGAGGCGATGAAGCGATACATCGATAATATGATGGTCCAATTGATGAACAAGTTYCCTCAAGTACTGGAACACATCAACCAATAATTACCGAGAAGGACTGAGTAAAAAGTTAGGATTTATCCAAATAGAGATAGATGATGACATCACTTTCACGGTGTTGTTAGTTTCTTGATACAAAGTGTACAACATTAACATTTTGATACTTGTTACATTTGTACTAGCATCGTATGAAATAAGAAAACACGTCGGAAGTATCTCATTTATCGAAGTTTCTGAACAATTTTTGAAAAACYTATCGAATAAAAAAGATATTTAGATATCAAACTAGTTGTGGTCAATTTTGTTTACGCCAGTTTAATGGCTTCGGAAAACACTGTTTTACTTGTGCGTACTCAAATATCACAGTCAGAGAGGAATATTACAGGAATGCATATGCTATTAATAGAACAATCATGACGCAACTATATAAACTGCCAATACAAGGAAAAAAACTGCGGTCRCGCGTCAACTACTTATGACGTCATATATGACTAGCAAATAGAAAACACTGAGAATGTCAATGCGCGAGAGGATTTGTTTAATCTGAGCATGGAACCACAAGAAATAAAAGTAGTTGATAAGAATACTATTTTTATCACATACCGCGACTTTTTTTGCTTGCACAGTCTTAATATTCCGCCTTGCATGTAGTTTATGCAGCGAGAAACTTTGTCAAGGCGCGATAAAGAAGGATCAAAGTTATTGTATTTTTCTTCATTTCCTTTGAGGTCYGAGACAGAAAATGAATATTATGTTCCTCAAAAGGTATTTGTTGCGCTTCAGTTGAATTTGGCGTCGGAAAAGTATTCAAACAATAGAAATATTTTCATGAAATACAGATTCGCGATTGTACAACAGAATAAATTTCATATCTTCCCATCACCACCCCATCTCCTTCGATCCCTTAGGGGCATCTGTGATTATTTAGTCTTATCATTCATGTCAGAATTGAAAGGCAGTAAATTCCCTCGTAAACTACTCGTATAAGAATTGACTCAATTACGTCATGAAGTACAATCAGCACAATGGAGAATGACAGGTTTTGTATTAGAAATAAAATTTGTACAAAATGAGAATTTCATAATCTTAGTTAATATGGAGAAATAGTTGTAAATATATTATCATGACTTAACGTGAATCTCAATCATTATTGTATTCAGAGCTAACAGATGAAAACAAAGAGATGAAGCGATATATAGATAGAATGATGGTCCAACTGATGAACAAGTTTCCTCAAGTACTGGAACACATCGGCCAATAACAACCACAACCGAGAACGACTGAGATTGACATTAGGATTTGCATAAACAAGCTTGATGACATCCTGTCTATAGTTCATTTTGATTGAAAATTGGTTTTAAAATAAAATTTCTCAATAGAAAGGATGTCTTGAATTTGAAATTGCTTTCCACTTGAATGTTGATGATGAGTCTATTTTATCTTAGTTAATTTTACCATCACTACCCCAGTGGGGTTTACTTGGGCAAAAAAGGTCCCATTGTAGTTTCCTAGATCTTTGTGTGCAAACAAATCACGCGCTGCAGCTAGAACAGCATCAAAACCAACCTAAAAGAAAAAGATAAATAGTAGTAAATGTTAGTAGTAGTAATTGCTGTCCATCGCTGATAGCTTTCTGTCTTACAGTATGTTTTGTCTGTCTGACTGTCTGCCAGTTTTAAAGACATTTCGTTTTTTCATCTCACTGTCTGTCTATGTAGTCCCTTGTCGATCTATAAAATGGGTGTGCCTAATCGTGTTTGATCATTTTGTGTCTACCTTATTAAAAGGAGCTGTCATTTTAAACGGCCGTCCATCAGTTCGACGATTCAACAGAACCACAGCCATTGATCCATCCGACAAAGGTCTTGACCAAACCTCAGTATTAGAAACCTATCAAATAACATCTCATTTAACAATATTCTGTATCTTATTTCTTTGTATCTATAATTCTAAAATATCAAATAACAAAACAGAGATAATGGTAAGATAAATTTAMATAAGCCTCTTATTTTAATCAAGCTCTAAATTTGTGTAAGATTCTTACTCACATTCAACCATCGTCTTCCCATCTTTCCAAGTGGATCCTGGTCAACAGCAATTACTTCTCTAACAGAGATGACACCAATAAATTTCACTCATTTGTAAATAATATTTTCAATGGTAYGCTGGTACGCTTACTTGTTTTGTAATATTTCTTTGTGTCGATCTGCAATTGTTCTTAGGTCTGTTGACATTATTAGTGGCTAATAAGAATAAATAAAAGCATGATATTGTAAACTGTGAGTAGGGACAYTGTACAGACACTTTAGAATTACTTACTGCTGCTAATATTGCCCATAATGCCATCTGGGCTCTTGACTGATCATCACTCAGTCCAAAATTACCAATAGTAAGCTAAAATAGATTGAAAACCATGGATATTTGAATAATAGAGATAATAATAAAGGTTTATGCACTCGTCTCACTCTCACTTTTTTATCCATTTCCACATCCATCCATCCGTCCATTAATCACTTTCATTCATTTATTTATTTATGAATCAGTTAAAAGTAATCCATTAATTCATCCATTTGTTCATTTATTTTTCMTTCATTCATTTTTTCATCATTCACTGCTTTGTGAATATATTTGGTTACCATGTCAGGATCATTCCAATGGCCAGGACCAGCTGCAGCTATAAATATATCTTGATTAGCAGCAAAATAGTCCAATATRTGCAGAATGCTATCCCAGGAATCCTACAACAAGAATAGTTTGATTATTGCCACAAGAAAAAAGTCATTTTTTAGCACAAGAAGGCAGCAAAACATGATGGTAGTTGTAGTCCTTGTACTTTTTCATGTCCAATAAAACTATCCCTCTGAAATGTTTTTGCTTTTTCTTAGCCAATATAGATGACGTTTTGGGATTCCTACAAAGAAAGGTTAAAAAGGCCTTTAAGGAGATATTTTAGGATTTGTAATATATTTGAGGACTACAAGTACCATCATGCTTTGCTGCACAAAATGGCGTCACTGCACATTAATTGCCTATTAAGATAATCTCACCTGGACATCATCATAATCTCTGTATGTGTTGCAATATTGTGCAACCTTCATCATGTCAGTCTAYAAAAGGAGTGGTATAAATCAGTATACAGTGGTTAAATATCTTATCATGATTGCTAGATCAATAAAAGGATAAACTACAGGGGATTAAAAAAATGATAAGAATATTTGGATTGCCAATGAACAAATGAAAGATGGATTAATAAATGAATGAATGAATGATTGGATGGATAGATGAATGAATGGAAGGATGAACAAATTAATGGATGGATAAATGGATTTAAATAAATRTCAGTGAATGAAAAAATGACCAAGTGAATAGATGAACTGCACCCTTTTTCTATAAATCAATGCTAAGCATGTAAACACAAKAATTACCGGAATATGTCTAGATTCAGTGTATGAAGGCCATTCACAGCTTACGACCATTGGTCTCCCTGTGGCATTTAGGGCATTAGAGAATTCTGGGTAACTAGTTGACATATTTGCAGGATCATTGTAACAACCATCAATCTTGACATAATCAGCTCCCCAACTTGCAAACGTCTAATGAAATTAAAGAAATATATGATAATCACTGATGGATTTCTTTGATATTGTATTATAGGACTTTCAATAAAATGTAACAGAATTAGATTTTGCAATAAACTCTTTTAAAATTGTTGTAAAAAAACAACAAAATACTCTTTTAGAGGAGGGTTATAGAACATACACAAGACAGCAAGTATCAATGTCATATCCTATGGGGGATGTTGCTCAATAGAATACAAGTTTCCAAATGAATTCAACATGTTGGTCAAATTAATAGGGAAAAAAAGGAAAATAAAAAGACGATATAATATATAACAAAGAAAGCTAAGAAACAGTTGAGAAATGAAGATAAAATACTAATTAAGTAAGAACTAAAACGAAAAGAGGAATGCTTGTCCTACCTTTGAATCTTGCTGCATGTATTTTAAGCTACCGGGATAACCTGCACAGGTCAGTACTCCATCATCTGTGTGGATAACATGTGTGCAAATCTCTCAGGCTTACATAACACCAATTAATGAATACAGAAAGTGGTTGTGGATACACTCTTATGTACAATGAATTAGCTATTAACTGTGATGTACCTACCAGCGTATACTCCAAGTTTAAGTCCTCTTGCATGGATCTAMAAGTAAAATCACAATCAAAGTTACACTTTTCAAAGCAAAAGTAGAGATGGATCTTGGAATGCAAATTGTATGAAAGAGGAGACTACATTCTTAAGTGAACTCAAAGATTTTTCAAGCTTTTTATTATGTGTATTCCCCCAAAAAAAATTCAATGTGCCACAAAAAATTTCAATTGTCGCTAGGCCCCTGATGTCCTATATTTTTATAAGACAGTGCTTACTTACATACTCAGCTAATGATCTGATTCCACTTGGAAATCTTGTTCTGTTAACATGTAAATTGCCATCTGAATCACGGCTCCTTTCAGTATAACAGTCCTATTAATAGAAAAAAGAGATGTGATACCTATTCTATATAGTACTGCATGTCTGCTCACTGAGTCTCTCTCATGTCAATCGGATATAGAAAGCACAAAGGAAGCATTTTAGACTTGTTTTCTAAGTGCTCTTTTCATTAAAGAGGTCCTGTTAAGGGATATAACCATGTCCTATCTCYATTTCAAAACTGTCTAATGAAAATTTTAGGTTTATGTTGGTATTTTGTTGCTGCTTACAATTCATCAGAATTTGTTGCTTGTTTCAATCCCACGGCATTCATGGTGATTTTTCAAGACCATGTCGCTTGTCAAAATTTACCACTAACAAGGCCTCAATATATTAAACAGTGACAGAGAAATACCTCTGGAAGCCAGTATAAATTTCTTTCAGAGCGCAGAAGGCTGACAAGCAATCAGTCCATAATATCAGGTGTAATACAAATATGGTCATYCATCGCAACCAATCATATCAAGCATGATTGAGAAAGATCAGTCACTTTGCACAAACGTTCACACCACCAATACACTCCTTCATCACAAATATTTCATTAAGATAAAAGTTCTTACATCAATACTAATGTAYTCATAGCCAAGATCTCTGTATCCATCCATAACCATGCGGTCTGCTATTTCTTTGAAGAGTCTTTCACTAAATGAATACACAAATACATGMTGACAGGACATAAACGTAATCCATCATCCAGAGTTTTGGGGACCAAGAAAGAAATGGGAGTCAAGAAGAAGAAGAGTTGGGAGAGCACTATTTTCTCTTTTCATAATCGTTTGAATAGTGAAATTATGAAATTGATTGCCGACTAAAACATGCAATCAGGATAATCATATGCCTTTGTATTTACCCTATGCAATTYTCAGGGTCATTCTCACAATCAATATTACATCTGAATCTCTCCCAGTCCATCCAACCCACTAGAAAAACAAAACAAAATCAGATGAATTTAGCAAACTTTCACCACGTCTCTCTATGCTTCTTCTACTTACTTGGGGGGGTTAAAGCTAAGCCATTATCAAGTGAAGTAACTTCTGAGCAACATAAAGTAAAGATAAACCAAAACGTAGCTACAGACTTCGTTATTTTCGCCGCCATTACACAGATGGGACAAAAGTCCTGTGACAGATGGGACAAAAGTCCTCTGGGACAAAAGTCCTGTGACAGCAGCATGACTCAAAACACAGGAAGCCCAGCAAAAGCTAGTTCTGACGTGATGTTTGTTATCGTCGCCTGTTTGGGGATACTCTGCGAACAGAGGTACTTTTCTCACCAAAGGCCGCCCAACTATTGCATTACAGACAGAAAAGAACGAATGCGCACGATTTTATTATGTATATGTATCGGCGCGTGCTCTTCGAAAAATTCGGGTTACCTGTGGTGCTACGTCACGATCTCGCGCCTCGCGGGACTACACACAGATTAGTATTAGAAAAGTACCTCTGTTCGCAGAGTAGTTTGGGGAGGGGTGGTGGGTAATTTTTGTCTCAATTTTCCTAAAATTATATGCAACACACTGTCACGAGAATAAAAATGCTTTATTGACAAGTTCTCTTTACAAAGTAGTAAGTASAAGAAAAGAAAAGATGTGCATCCAAATGAAATACATTTCCTCAGACATCTAAGGTCAGCTTGACGAAGTAGTGTCACGTGACCAGGCCATCGTGGATCCAGTGGAGATTGAAATATAAGGTTCCTGGAACATCCCTAACGACAAAGAATAAGGAAACAGACTTAGCATTGCGCTTAAAATGGTTCTTGGAATACCATGGCTGGCTGTAACTACGTTGGGCGAACACAACATAGGTTGGACGTCCACTCCACCACTCAAATAATGAATAGATTGAACATACGAAAATATCATGAACATAACTGAGAATCAACTGTGTCGTCAGCAAATATATTTACCTTCAGAACTMAGCTTTTCTTTTGCTTTCCTCTGTAATCGCTCTCTCAGAGTYACATAGTCTCTTGATGGTGGAGTTTGACTTATAAGGGGGTTATGACTTCGTCGGTGTTCGTCTTCAATTCTACTTGGACCTTGCACTTCTCCCAAGGAGGCAGAACTGTGAAGAACTTCTCTTAGTCTCTCGTCATCTTGACTAGAAAATAATGGATTTCTTCTCAAGCCATCGGGGATGGACACGCCCCTTTCACTTCCTCCTTGTTCGCTATTTGCTAAGTCGACAAGTTTTATTTCTCTCATGATTAGATTTGACTCGATGTTTTTTGCCTTCTCAGTGTATTCTTGTTCCATCTTTTGGAGGGTTTCTGCAGCAAGTTGAGCRTCTGAAACAGTTTTTCTAAGTTCCTTGACTTCTTCTTGTGCATTGATTAATTGTATCCTTCTTGCAAGTTCGTCCTTGTTTATAACATCATTCACCGAGAATTTTGCTTCTAGAGTAGTTTTAAGATGGTGAAGTTCATCTGCTGTATTTGTCACTGCTTCGGCAGCTAAAAGAACATCTCTTCTTGCTTGTCGTAACTCTCTGGAATTGCGCTTTCCAAATGTATCCAAAGAATTATAGAACTCTTCGAATTTCGTCGCGTCACGTGACTGTCGCGCGGCCTGTAATTGGTCCAAAACTGATTTTCTAGTCAYGTGACCTTCATCASTTACACAACGGATGATGTCATCAGAGGTGCATTTGACAAAATCCAGGAACTGCTCGTGGGAGGAGTATATATCCTTCTCGATTGCATCGGCCATTTCAAAGGTGAAGTCCTTCAGTTCAGCTAGTTCCTCTTTTACTTTTCTCCATGTTTCTTCGGTGGTCTTCTCAATTCGTGTCATTGTTGATCCGTTTGACTTAATAGMATCYGCTACCACATCGCCGGGCAAGGCTTCAACAGATTTAGCAATTGCACTTTCGATGTGGATCTTAAGTTCATCGAGTTTTGGTGTCCATTCTTTYTCCATCACAGMCTTGATCTTTTTCGTGATGGTGTCAGTTTGCATTTCTGGATTCACTGTTTTGGRACTTTGATCTTTTAGCATTTGGATGATTTGGTTCTTTTCATTTAAAAGTTCACTGAACAGTTTCTCTCTCGTTTCCATCATCTGTTTATAAATTGACTCCTGTCTTCCCATTTCTTTTTCCTTTTCATCAAGAACATTTGTCAGCTCGTTATGAAGATCAGTATTTTTTTGCCCTTGACCTTTGACAATATCATCCAGAGCTTGTTTGATTGTTTTCAAGTCTTGTCTGAGTTTATACAYTTCTTTCTCTCCACTTGATGGCAACGCTTGGTTCCTATTAACGCCCCTTATTTCATCGAGTTCTTGTTGGTGAAGTTCTGCTTCTTCATCCCATTGCCTTTTGTACCTTTGCGCCAGTGAATCGTACTTCTTGTCTGTAAGAGAATAGTTRGAAAAACCAGAATATCCAGMGTCTGATGCAGTTGYTTTGCGAGCTTGTCGCAGTCTTGTTTCAGCATCATCTAGCTTACGTTGCAAATCTTTGATTTCGAGATCACGTTGAGCAAGTTTCGCCTGCAATTCTGTGATTTCGATTAGAATTGTTGYACCCTTTTCTMTTTCWYTTTCAGGGGTGATACGCTTCTTCAATTGAAAATTCTCTTCTTCAAGCACTCTTAGTTTGTTCTTTAGTTCTTCCAATGATCCCGATTGTGGCGTATAAACCAAACTGTTCATATCTCGTAGCTGTTGATCTACTTTTTTCAGCCGAATCTCTGTTTCTTGAAGCTTTAATGTCTCATTGTCTTTGGCAGCAGCAATGTCTTTTAGTTCTGACTCGAGTCGCTCACATCGTTCATGAGCTAGCCGAGCCATCGTTTCTAATTTCTCCTGGTATTCAGGAACTTCATTTTGACAGCCTGCACCTTTACAACTCAAAAGTCGCTGAATCATGAGTTTGTATCCCTCAAGTGCGCTTTTCAGCAATTCTATTTCTCCTTCTCCTCCATGAGTGTTTGCGGCGTGCCTTGTTTGCTYCAAGAAGACTGGCATGCCATTTCCCTCTGACTTTTCCTTGTACTTAGCTTCAKCATCGGCTAGAGCATTTTTGAGTTGGTTTATTTCTGCCTTTAAAGCCAAGTTGTTTTTCTCAAGATCCTCTGATTCCTTTAATGGGCGTAATTCTGATAGCTCCTGTACTAGACGATCCCGTTCGGTCATCGCCTCGCTGATCTCTTCAGTAAGTTCTTGTACTTCTACGCTGTGCTGATCTTTAAGCTCTTTGATCTTTTTGTCCTTCTGATTTATTGTTTCTCTCAACTCATCTACGATTTCACTTGCCTTAGTTTCACCAAAAATAGATTCTTTTTCAGCGATGTACTTGGACAACTTCTTTTTGCTTTCTTTCAATTCTTGCTCTAGTTCTGAAGTTCGTCGGTAGGCGCTTTCCAATTTTTCTTGGAACTCCGAAGACGAAGTGTTCTCGTACAGGAAAASAGRTTCTCCACCATCTCCTTTGTTGTCGAGTTTCAGCTGCAATCGAACGTTGTCATCTAGAGCTTCCTTCAACTGTCTTTCCATTTGACGTAAACGAGATTCCTGTGACCTATCACCTAAATCGTCGTGTCCTGACTGCAAAAGTTTGACAATTTGTCTCTCCTTGTGCTTGACGATAGTGGACTTGTCTTCYAGGGCTTTCTTGTAYTTCTGCATCACGAACGATAGGTGGTCGACCTCTCTTTTCAAATCTGAGATCCGATTATCTTTTATCAAGAAGTCCTCGCGCCATTCCCGTTGCTGTACTTCTAACAGCCTCACTTGTTCTTTAAGACGTTTGTTCTTGCTTTTGAATTCGCGGATTTTTCTTTTGTAGCTTTTTAACTGCATTTTTTGCCTCTTAACTTTTTCCAGAGCATCTCTTTCTTCGTAGGTCATGGGTTCAGGGGCTTGTGGTCGTGTAAGCTCGCCATTGTCTCTATCATTGTTCAAGTTGTAAACTTGATAGACACCGAGAAGGTCTGCTATTTCACTACATGCGTCACTTTCATCAGCTTCTTCGTCRGAGCTATCAAACGGAAAGTGACCTATTTTCTTTCTCCTCTTTTTGCTTTCAATGGCATCTGACTCTAAAGACTTCATTGTACTGCTAGAACTTTCAATTTCATCTGTAGTCGTTGAGCAAGTTGTCTGAGAAAGTATGTTTCCATATTTATCTCCATAGCTGTCACCAGTTGATACYTCTTTCTCTGAAGGAGAATTTCCCTCGCTTGCAAAGTCACATTCACAGGAATGAGCTGAACTTTCTTCTGTGTACGTAGAACTTTCTGTATCCCCCTCAACACCAACGCAAGTTTCCTTGTGGCAGAAATGTTCACCGATGCTCGTKGTGTGCACGTGATCTGGCACGTGACGTTTGGAAGTAATGTCCTTTCCTTCAGGCGATTTAACTCCTTTGAAAGAGCCTTTTGCCTTTGGAGACTTATTCCTTTTAACTGGTACAGGAATTTGGCTTTGCGTTGGAGATGTTTGGCARATAGCATCCMTTACAGGCTTATCGTCGGCAAATTGTTGGTCAACTTTTGTCAAAGGTCTTTCACTCGAGTGTTTGAGTTCTCCAACTGAGAGAATTCCGTTGTCAATAGTCCCTTTTAAGCGTGAAATAGTTTCTCTGAATATGGTATCAGTAACGGTTTGAAGAGATAGGAAAACCTTTTCCAAGCTTTCTTTATCAATTGACATTTGAGGCAGAGARGAGCAAGACRAGCTGGGAGGCTTTTCGGCAGCAAGCATTGTCTCCATTTCCTGWTGTAATTTATYTCGTTCTTGATCGTGCCAATGCATTAACTCGGCTATTTTTTCCTTGGCATCAGCAATTCCATCAAATCCTCGAGCAACAGTAGATGGYGGTTCTCTACGTCGTGTTTGCTGTTGGAGATGGTGAAGACGTTCCAAAAGTTCTGAAGGATCAAGTTTTTTCTCTTTGTGRRTATCAGACGAAGAGACTTGCTTGAATTCATCTGCAACGTTTGAAGGTTCTTTTCTGATTTTTGGTTGAAAGCGTCGCGATTCTTGCGGTGTTAGTAKGATTTCCTTCACGTCACCTTGATTGGACTTCTCTTTCAACTCATCGATCATATTCTTTTTCAAATCTTGAAGTTGTTCTGATGATAAATTCATCGGAACGTCCAAAAMAACTGTCTTCACTTGCTTGTTTTGCTCTTCCTTTTCTTCGACTCCTTTGCGTAGAATATCTTCAAGCTTCGATGCGAACTTGGTTTTCCATTGGCTTATCTTATCAAATGCTTCTCTTTCCATCTTTGTTGCATAGTCAGTTTGCGTTTTACGCAAAGGAGACGCAAGAGGCAGCGTAAGTCTACGCTTAATTATTTTTGAAGGATCAACGTAAGCGGTAGAGTCTTCACTCTCGTTTTCACTGGGGTCAWCAGTGCTAACAATCTGAAATATAAAAGAGAATTACATTATTTCACGGCATGATTGTATCAAGAATTAGGAATCAGAAGCTGCACATAGAACAAAGAAGATACGACTAACCCTTCCATCAGAAGACCTGTCAATTACATCTTTGGTGACCTCATCTACTAAAGCCTGGACAGAGGGTGTACCACTTGAGCCACTTAGCATTGGYAAAAGAGAGTTAATTTCATCCTTATTCTCGTCGATGGTAGCTAGRTCCGTGCTAAAACTTCCTGATCTTCGTCTACTATCATGCCTTGTCCATCGAGTTAGAATTTCATCGCTGGAATCACTATCTATGGTTTTATGATCTGATGGTTCTRACTCAGGAATCATCTCACTGCTTTCTGCCAATACTAGTATCGATTGGCTGTGTTCTCCATCTGACTCTGTCTCTATTTCAGCCGAATGTTCTTCTTCAAGACCAGAGAGAGTGGCCTGAAACTGTAATCGTGATGGAGGTTTCTTGGCTTTGTCTGCGCTCTCCATACTCATCGCCCTAGGCCTYTGCGCAATGTTTCCCTTCTGTGCAAGCAGATCGGCTGGCTCTGATAAAGATCTCGTTCTTCCCACTTCTCTATTCCAAGTGTAAATAGCATGCTCATTTAACCGCGCTTCATTACTGGATTCTTCGTTTTCTTCGTCGCTTATTGCAAAATCGTCCTTGGAATCACCTAATAGTATAATAATAWATCTAGTTATATATTAAGCAAACCCTTTGATGGGCGAATAGGCGATAGATTAGTGAATAAATAAAGGGTAATAAAGTTAGCAAATGATTGAATATATGGATGAAAGGAGATAAATGAACGAATAAACACAATCAAKAAACTGCGTGAATGGATGAGTGCACTGAATGATGGATGAATAAATAARTGCATGGAAATGGGAAGAGAATGAATGAATGAACGATATGACATATGGATGAATGATTGATTGATAGATAAATCAATGCATAAACAATGAATGARTTGGATAACTTGTGAGCAAATAGCGTATAGAAGTATGAAGTGGAAGCAAGAAAAATAGAGAGATATGTACCTTCTTTATCCTCGATAGAATCATCGACGCTAGCTCTTTCTCGCTCTTCCGCTAATGCAATAACGGAYACTGTAGGAAAATCCTCGCCAGGATCCCATGGGTCACTAATATGCGGTAGGTGCATCCTACTGAAAGAGTGGTGTAGATGTGGAGTTGAGGAAGAGCCCTGTAACTCACGGATTCTTTTCAACTGTCCAGAAATGTGTGGAAAATGCATATAGCTTGTACACGAGCGAACATCTTCGTCGACTGCTTTAGAGACGGCACGCATTTGAGATGTATCGCTGAATGAGCGAGGTTTTCCTTGCATTTCTGTCAGGAGTGGTGGCCTGTTCAATATAAAACAATTAACACTTAATTCACATGAAAGCAAACGGCAATTTATAACGTTGTATTACGGCGTCCTCGCAAACCCAGGAGAAGTCTTCTGTTCAGTAACCTTATGGTTCCCAAGGATTTCCAAAGAATCCACTCACCATGGTTTGCTTAATTCAACCATCGCCATGTCTTCAAATCTTCGTTCATTTTCACTTTTTGTCCTATTCCCATCTTCTTSTTTTTCACTTGCTTCGTTTGTCTCTTCTTTTTTATCCGAATTCTCTAGATTTTCATTGACATCTGTGATACTTTGACTGTCTTCTATATCAGTTTTATCATTTTCTGCATCCATTACGCTGAGCTAGAGATGGTAGAGCACGACGGATCTTGTTATCTAGAAAAATGAGAAGATAGATCTAATCTAATCTATCATTCACGTGCATTGCATTTTGCTTAATATCGTTTTAATTACTACACTTCTTCTAGAATGTTGCGCTTATCACGTAAATCTACACGTTGAATGAAAAATAGAATATTTTTCTCATCCTACCTTTTTATTTTGTGGAATAAGCATCAGAGCAAAGCCCTGGTCAACTAAATGATTGTGACGTAATGCGAATGTGTGCGCGCACCACAGGGATTCCAATTCTAAATGATTGTGACGTAAATGGAACTGCCCGCACCACAGGGATCTGAGAGGGACCCAATGGGGTGGTACGAATCACGACTCACGGCTAAAAAATTTGGCGATTTCACGACTCACGACTAATTTTTTCGAATCACGGWTAACTAGATTACTTTCAGAAATTTTTGAATTACGTTTTTCATTACCTCATAATTGTCGCTTTTCGCGATGATGTATTCTATGCCGGGCTAAATGTGCATGGTAAAATCAGGAAGTTTGCAGCGTATTCATATTATTGACTCTAAACAAAATTAAAGTATTTTAAAATCGAGCAGATTTAGTTTCTTGTCACACTTAGCGTGACGCAGGCACTAAATGAGTGGGAGTTTTAAAATGTACAAAACAAATCCCAAAAATACTATCCAAGAAAGGAGAAACCTTTTATAACTAATTATAGTATTTTAAAATCGATATCTTATCTAATTACAGAAAACTTCAGAATATATACAATGTCCGTACGAATAGAAAACATAACTCGGCCACTCTGTTTAAAAATTGATTCTCGGTTGCGCAATCGCCGCGCTGTGAAAACCTATTATACGTTTAAT